GAGTGGCCATAGGTTGGGCAGCGTAAAGCCGCGGGTTGGGCTTGGGTGGCTTGAGGTTGAGTTGAAAAGCTGGGGCTTTAAGATACCGCAATTCTTACGGCTGGGTGAACACGGGGCACAGCGGGAACTTGTGGCACCCGCTCTGGTTTTATTTGTGGAAATCCTGCTTTAGGTAACATTCCTCAGCGTCTCATCGTCAGACAGTTAGTGTTGATAACTGTGACGGGGAAAAAGGGCTAACGGCGGCAGCGGTGCCAACTGGTACGCCGTAGTGGATGTATTTAGTAAGCAGGAACAACGGGATGCGTACTTACACTGGAAAATGCAACAGGTGTGAACTGAGGTGACAAAACCTCAGAAAATCTCATGCGGTTTGGAGCCTGCTGTTGGCTCTTTTCCTTCCATGTGGCTTTCCAGAGACCTTCCCATGTGGAAGTGCGGTGTGACGCATGAGTTTTCCGGTACCAGTGGCTCCCTTAGTTTGTGTTCAGGCCTCTTTGCATTGACTCCCTCTAGCTTGCCTCTTCCCAAGTTCTTTTCCCTGTTGCAATCCAAGCATTTCATGGCTGGGTGCAGATTACCTTTTTTCAAAGGCTTACATTTTGGCCAAAATTCAGTAGTTTTGTGTAAGAACTAGAGCAGGTACGTCCCTCTTTCACCTTTCTCCTCGCCTAAGCTCTGTACTTCCCCAAAGTACACCTTGCTGCTTTGAAACATTAAGGATGCAGATTTTATTTAACCAAAGAAAAACACCTGGTTTTCGTTAGCCTCATTCTTGGAAGTGACTGGATTGCTTCAGCTAAGATTTGGATGGAAAGACATCTGGCACGAACAGTGTGTTTATGTCTTTAAAGTTGCATAAAGCTGTAAACAGCAAAAACCAGAGTCCTAAGTGGGAAATACTGGGCAACCTTAATAAAAGGGTGTGGTACCCAGCCTGTGGGTAGTTACACAGATGTGTTCTATACATGCGCTCTCTAGAGGTGTCCTTTGTTTCAGCTCTGGTTTTGAATGTGCTCTGTGATGGCGATTACAAGTGGGTAGGGAGTCTAATCCAAGCCCTACAGATGCCAAACAGGAGTCTTGGTTTGACTTTGTAGACTCAGAAGCATACCCAGGGCAAGAACACTTGAGACCTTGTTACCGAGACACGTAGGATAAACTCAAAATTATCTCACTTCCATAGGTAAAAAATACTGAAAAATAGGTGTTATTATTATTGCTCAGATTTATCGTGTGGATCATAACTAAATCATGTCAGTGGTAATTCTGGTATTTTTCCTTGCATTTATATATTATATCAAAGACAAAATTGAAAGATTTGTGAATTCCCAGAGAGCAGTCATTAAGCAAAGTATTGCAGTAAAGAGCTCAAAGGAAAGCAAGAAGTTTTGTCAAAAGAAAGAAAAAGTAATCTGTGACATGGTAACGTTCTGAAGGCACAGGAAATTTTGTGTCTCCCCTGGGGTTTGTGGCATCTTCTCAGGAATAAGGGAATTATAGGAAAAAAAAAGGTTGAAACATCAGTCTAGAGAGGAATTATTTAGTATCTCGTATGAGAAAGGCAAAGAATGTCTTAAACAACCTTCCAGGGTGCTGTTACGAGGTGAAGGGAACTGTTTTATCAGATAACAGAAAACTATTCAGGGCATGTTTTGAAGGCTGTCTGAACATGAAAAAAGCAGCCAAGAAAACTACATAGAATCTGTTGGGGTGGCTTATGAAACTTTTTTAGGTAACTTGTAAAAGATAATGATGAAACAAGCATTTGTCATCTCTAAAGTATCAGACACTGTAATGAACTAAGAAGGGCTATGAAGGGCAACAAAAGACATGGTTTGTTATGAAGGAGGATGATTCAGGGTATTTCAGTGCAGTATATTTGCATATTGTTTAAAAGGAATTTTTTTATTGAGTTAGTGTTTAAGAATTAATACTGAATATGTTTTATTTTAAATGTATTTTAAAATTTTTGATAACCCAAGGGAATTATTAATAATTATTAAGAAATGTTAATAAAAATACTTTCTTTTTGTCTTCTTTTTTATACATAGGGACTGGAAGGTCCATTTGGCCCTAGAGGACCTTGGGGACCTCAGATAAGTGAAACGTAAGGTATAGAAATACTCTTACATAGTTTTCTGAGAGTTCATTGTGTATTTCATACACAATCTAATTTTGTTGCTAAATGGGATGCATTTGGTGGCAAAAAAAGATACATTCTGGTAATGCCAAGAATCTGCAGCACATCTGGCACGGGGCACAGAGCTGTGTCGGTGCAGTCAGCCGTTCAGCTGGGCCCTCCATGCATGCTGTGATATTTTTTTTCCTTTCACTGAGGACCTGCCAGTTCATTTGCCCTGCTGCTGGAATTTCTGACAAGCTACCTAAGTTGCCAAAGTAGTGGCTTCCGCAGTGTCCCAGGATGACTGGCAAAGTGACTCCTCCAACAGCTGAAGAGACTGAAACCAATCAAGCAGTCTCAAAAATGCTGTGATTGTTAAATAGCTCAGCGCTGAATCAGAGAAAAATCAAAACAAAGAGTCCCCTTGGTAGCAATTGCCCAACACACTTCTTTTTTCATTAGCTGTTGTCAATGGCAGGTCCCTGCCGCTTTCCGTCTTGGCAGTTGCTGGAAGGGATTACAGCAGCCATTGGGTATTTTAACTTCAGCAGTCTTTTTGGAGGGGAGTCAGGAATCTGTAGAGAATTGCTTACTGTGACAAGGATCTCATAAACTCTGTTGTATGTTGATAGGCTCTGTATGTCAACAAAGAAGACAGAATTTTCCTACTCCACTTCAGTGCGACTGCCTGGACGTGAGCATCTCTGGAGTAGATGAAACTACAGCAAATACAGAGTATCACAGATTCACAGAATGGTTGAGTTTGGGAAAGAGAGTAGGGAGTTAAGGAGAATGTACTCAGGTCAGAACATGAACCTTTAGTCCTAAATTCCATTCTGTATAGTTTGAAGCATTATTACTCAGTTTTCCCTATAGCAGATGTCATTTCTACAATGCAAAATTAGTATTTTTAGCAAAACCAAATTTTTGCTGTCTAAGAAGAAAAACATTTGTTATTCTTACTAATTATGAAAGAAGAACATTAAATATTTGGGAGATTTAAATCTGCCATGAAAGGGATTAACAAGAGAAACAAAGGAGTTAGCATTTCATTGCAGAAATTAAGCTGTTACTGCAATGTTCAGTCTGTATACTTTAAAATGTTGGCGGGTCTTCCAGGTGAAGTCACAACAGACTTCTATTAAACTGATTTTTTAAGGTGGAAGCAGACTGAATTACCTTTTTCTTTTAAGTATATACTGGTTATTTCGATTATTACTTCTATAATCTCTTTATTTCAAGCCTTGCATTAATGCTGCATAATTTTACAGTCTATGTTCTGTTTATATTTGACAGACTTCTCATACCAAACAAAACAACTACTGAAAAGTAAAAGCAGATGAGTATTCTGCTGAAACAGAGGATTGATCCAGGAATGTACTGTAACCGCAAATAGTAGGAATGAATCACTTACTGATGGGCATATAAATCATAGAATCATAGAATAGTTTGGGTTGGAAGAGACCTTTAAAGGTCATCTAGTGCAACCCCCAGTGAATATATATAAATGAATAAATGAATATGCCATGCAATAAATAACATGGGAATTTATATTAATATTTATAGACAATTACATATGAGTAAGTTCCATTCTTTCATGCAGAAAAATGCTTCATAAAAGACTGATGATTTGGAATACTTTTTCAGTTTTTGAGTTGTAAGAGACTTTTAGATAAGATATTGGTGATTTTTACATGTTCCTTAGGTATTAACTTAATAAGGTAGAATCTATTATTTAAATGAAAGAGAAAAGCTATTAAAATAACTGGTAGCATTTTCAATTAGTGATCAGCTAAGAACTACAATGCAGGAAAACCAAGTATTAAACAGGTAAGCATGCCTACCCTAACCAATGTACATTTGTTTGTCTTTCCTCCGAAGCAAATTAGCTGATCTCAGACCTTGAAAACAGAGAGACTTCTGAATTGGGAGTATGCTGTTTCTGGCATGCCTGGGTTCTTGGCCAGTTCTTTCCAAACCTGTATGGTTAGGTCATCAGTTTTGCTTTGACAAAGCAAAAATTTGCTTTGCTTACCTTTTTCATTATTGGATTTGTGACTCCTAATGCTTCTGTGTAGTGATGTATTTTTGTATGGTTTGTCTGAAAAAAAGAGATTTCCTTGGTCCTATGTAATTAGGGTTTCAGAACCTGCTTTTCTGCAAGCCATGGAGATATACACTTTTACCTTTTCTCCTTTATTTGTTATTAAGTCTCTTTAAATTGTCTGAAATAGAAATTATAAGATGAAGTACCAGTTGGGCAATTTCAGGTTCTCTCTGAGTAACTTCATTCTTCAGAAACAAAGGCTGATAGTTGGCCTGGAAATACTTAAATGTCACATTTTTTACCATTTCTTGGGCACTGTTGGAGTCAGGATCTTATTTATTTTACCTGCCTCTCATATTTCTTTCTTTTCTCAGAAAACAAAGGAAATGCATAGTCTTTGGCTTCCTTATTAAATATTTTCCTACTTTCTCTTTTGAATTACAGTAAATAATTTTAATGGTCTTTCCAATGTTTTTATAGCTATGCAAAACTTTCTAAAGAAAATGTGTAATAAACATTGTTCTTCCAGCCTTCCAGTAATCTCCCTGTATTCAGTGCCTTTAGTTTAAAATCATGTGAATGGACTGGCTTTTTCCATCATTTGGGTTAATGTTTGTTGGCTGTTTTTCCTTGTCTCTAAACGTACTGGAGAATTTGTATTATCCCAGAAACTACATTTCATGTGATATATTTTCACAGGGTTTATTTAAGCCACAAATGTGATCTAATGGTACAGTTAGTTGGCTTAGATTTCAAATCTAATATTCCTTCCATTTTAAGAGTATTTTTCCTCATAAAACCAGCATTTTTTTTCCTTAATAATAGTAATCTTTAGGAACTCAGCAGTTGTTTTGATAAATAAAGTAGGCCAAAATGTGTGGAAAATTTCAGAGTAATTCAAATAGAGCAGTCTATCATATATCAAAGGCAAAATTGGCAGTCTGTATTTTCATGCTTATCTGTTTCATTTTTCATCATTCCACTTCCTCTGCTACTGTTAAAGTGGGACATAGTGACTTTTTCACATCTGTTTCCAATAATCACCTACTGGTTCTTTTTATAACAAAGATGAACTTCAGTTTATGAGTTCCTAACATTTTTCCATAGGAAAGTATGGAACATGAGCTTAGTTAATACTTGCAATAATCACATCATTTAACTTTGATTTTAAGAGGAAGTTCTTTAGGTACTAGGGAATCAGCAGCTTAAATATCTGACATCTTACTCATTTCTTGAGTCCTAATGATGGTCCTCCAAATACACTACTAACATGTACACAAACTGCAGAAGAGACATTTCCTGGGTCTTTGGCACAAGAGAGATTCAGAGAAATTTAAAAATGAAAAATTGTGTTTTGAATGAGTAAATGCTGTTACTCTAATGTCAGATAGCAAGCAAGTTTAGTGGAAACACAAGAGCTATTCGGTGTTAAAGAATGCAAAAGAATTTCACCTTCTCAGGGACCACTGTGTCACAGTTACTAGATCACATGAACTGTTGGGGCATCATACATGTTTTATAATTAATCATTCTACCATACTCAGAAATTATATTCCTTATGTTGATCTCAAAATAAATGCTGGGACAGTATTTGGTTAGTGTCACTGTGAATTTCTCAAAAGTTTCTGAGCCTTTCAAACTCTTGGATCTTTGCTTCTGTGTTCCACACTGTGATTTTCCACTTTTATTTTTCCTGTAGCTATTTCTACATTTGCACCTTTGTCCAATAGCAACATCTTTATTTATAAACAATGCAGAATATTTGTTTAGTTTTGAGGTTGTACCTAGATGATTATTAATCTCTTCATCACCATTGCATAATAGCTGCTTTTTATATTTCCTGTTCCTTGTAATTGATACAGCTAAATAAACTTACACATAAAAAAAATCATTAAGGATCTAATTCAGCTTGACTTTTGACAAGTCTCATTTTAATCATGCATTTTCTGGCCTCTCAGACGTTGCTTGCAGTTCTGATCAGTCCCTTTTATATTCCATGTAAGATCTGCTTAATTCTAATATGTGTGAATTGCTTTCATGCAGTTGTATCTCAAACTATGTTCAGCAATTTCTCCTCATGGATGAGGTGTAAATTTACATTTTTTGTAACTCTGATTGCAAAATATTCCAAGTTTGCTCTAAGAATTTTTAATCATGTAGGGACTTTGTACAGTGGAGGCTCCATTTCGAGCTTCTTTTCTTCTCTAAAGATCTCTTAAAATTCTTAAGAGATCAAGGTATATCAAGGTCAGTTAATGTTGTGCTTTTCCATATTTGATTCCTGGAAGGCTGGCTTTTCTTCATGTCCATCTCTGAGATTTATTGTATCATGTCTGGCCAAGGGGAACTAGCCAAACTAGCTGAATCCTATCAGGAATACAGAAACAGAACACCTAAATACTACTGAAATTTTGCATATTGCAACACGATGTGAACACTGACTTTTTAAAGACATGGCAATTTCTAATTAAATTATGTAAGTCTGCTGCTGCTCTTCCCTTTACAGAAAAAAAGCAAATATGTAGTCTGACATTGCTGTCATACACATTATTTCTGTTTGGGATTATGATTTCTTAAACTTGCAAAAGTTGTTGCTTGATGGAGCCTACCAGACTGTTTCAGGTGTGCTGTTGTAGTCCTCCATGCCATGATGCATACTTTTATATACTGCATACTGGCTTATCTGATTTTAGGTAAGAGAAAGTATTAATTACACATGGGGTTCAAACTCCTCTCAGTCTATGTAAAATGTACATCCTTTTAAAAATATGACAAATTATCAGACTAAGCAGTATAATTGCAAAGGTACAGAATGCAAGACTATTTCCCCTAGGTTTTAGTATTTCGTTTGAAAATTCTTTTGTTTGTACAGATCATACTTTCATTCTTTGTATATGCTGTGATTATCACTTAATTTGGTACTATTTCAGTTGTTGCTCTCCTTGTTATTTACTGAGATGCATAGAAATGTGAGTGAGGGGAATTGAAATGAAGACAAGACTTTCACAGACATCTTTATTTCCTTTTGAAGATAATTACTTCATTTTATTAATTGTAAAAATAATCTATTAGAGTTTTGAAATTAATCTCCTACCTTACCTTTTTAGGGTATCCAGGATCCTGAAGGAATACCTGGACCAAAGGCATCCCAAGGTTTGGGTGTTCAAGGACCAAAGGTAACCTGTGAACAAAAAGCATGATTTTAAAAGGATAGAGCAAGGGATATATGTGACTGAGGACAAACCTTTTCATACATTTAGAGCTCCTGTTCTTTTAGGGAAACTCATGAAAGAAAAGATTTGGATCAGTATCAGTAGTTGACTGTTAAGAGAGAGCTCTTGAACTGTGCCACGTTATGATAAGCAACCTTGGTCACCACTTGCTTACAAAAATAAACTGAAGTGTACAAGCTTTACAAAGGGTTATTTAAAGGATTTGAAGATGAAATATGATGTATTCTAACCAGGTTCCTCACTGCTGAGCCTGACCAAAGCACTTTTTCAAACTAACAATTTTTTGTAGCTGCAAAGTGGCTACACAACAGATGATGTGATTGCCGCACATTAAAATTTTGGTCATCTTTGCTTTAAGTTGTCATTGAAATCAAACATCTTATAAAAATGATTCTTATTTCAAATTTTGGGTTCTTTTTATTTAGGGACAAGAAGGTGAGCGTGGTCCAAAAGGGGATTGTGGAGTTTCAGGAACTGGACTGCCAGTAAGTAAAGTAAGCCTGTTTTGGAATGGTTACTGTTTTAATCATTGCTTTGTTTTCTTACAGTTGTAAGTAATAATTTACCTTAAGACTAATGAGGAACATTTCTAAGGCCAGTATTACATGTGTTCCAAAGTGACACAAGACTGTCATTTGAATTCTCTGAAAACCCAGAACTGTACTTACTTCAGCAGATCATACTACCTTGTTGATACATTCAACGATCACTTTCATCTTTCATTACCTTTGTGGTGCTCAGAAGATCCATCCATAAGGTACTGGTGCTCCCAGTCTGGGTATCTATAAAGAGAGTAATGTGTGAAATGAGTATTTAGCTTCTTAGGATCAGATAGGAGCTAAGGAGTAAAACCAGTTCTTCCAGGAGAGATCCTGCCTCCTTGAAGCATTGTATCTTAGTCTTTAGCTTCCACCAGCTATTACAAGGGGACAAATATTTTGCCCAGACAGTAGCTTCATTTACTAGCTGTGTCCTGATTAAACACTGAATGAGTCACCCAGTATGAAATGCTATCATTATGCATTATCATGTAGATACACCAGAGGGCAGGATTTAGATAGCATAAATATCTTTATAGCTTACATAAATTGAATTCAGCACCTCAATGATCCTTTTGATACCTTTATTGCAATTTGATTTGTGAAAGACATAGATTCATGCCTTTACTTACATAGTGTATGAATAACAATGGCACTGAATTAAGATATATCTACAATTAGGAACAGTGGGTTTTAAAAACTGTATAAAACATGTGCTTCAAATTGCATCCATTAGCTATGTCTCCTAGCCAGAAAAAAATCTACCATTCTTTATAGTAACTATTGTCATTCTTATAGAGCGAAGCGCATACTGGGGGAAAAAAAATGTGAATTTAGGGCAGTCTATTTTGGTTAATATCATTGAGCGAAGAGTAAGTCCTTTGATACATTACATTCAGTTACTATAGAATAGTCACCTTCTTTCATTCTTTTGTAGATCTGTACCACATTCGCATCTGGTTGTGGCTTTCCAAGCTACAGAATCATAATTTACTTTGTCTTCATACAGAAACTCTCTCTTATCTTTGACAGCTTTCTCTGTTTCTTTTTATTTCTTCTTTACCATTTTCAAGTTGCAGTAACAATAATAGCAGAAAGTATTCAAGGAGGATCGTGTGTACCAGGAAAAAAAGCTGATACATTATTTTTTCCAATAGAAGCGGTGACTTAGCATAAATGCAGGAACTAAAGGCTTTACAACTTGAAATTCAATAGCAACACAAGATGAATTTTACAGATAAACCTTTGTACTGCAGACCAGAGCTTTAGTGCGGTCGTGTAATGAGTGCATTTAGACAGATTCAATAGTCCTGGGAGCTAGACGTACTGAGCATCTGGTTCAGAGCATGTGGTTCAGAGCAGCCACTGAAACACTCCTGTACTGAACAGAATAGCAAGAAGTATTAGTGTTAAAAACAATGATGTAAATCTGGAGGCATTACTTCCATCAGATTTGATTTCTAAGTGAATATATAGCTATGAAACTATATACTGGCAAGACTAGTGAAAAAATAAAGCTCTGAATTGTAAATCTACAATCCTGTAACAGAACTGTCAAGATCCTTATTGTGCTTGCAAAGCACAGTAAGTAGTGAAGAAGAGCTTAGGCTATTTCCAGAGACCAGTTACACCCAGCATGTAACAGAACTACAGATTTTCTAGCCAGACAAGTACAACCAAACTTGACCCCGTTGCTATCTGAATACTGGATGTTTGTGAGAACTACCAGGTTATATGTATATTTAACCAGTCAGGGACTGTTATGTTTAAAAATTGTAAATGTTAACATCTTCTGATCTCTGCCAGATGAGAGTCATATTTACAGGTCTAAAAAAAAGGGAGAAGTCTTTGAACACAGCTGGAAATCCATTCACTCAATTCTGTTTTGGCACATAGTGCAGATAAACCTTGATGGCTGCAGGAAAAAGCATTCTTCTATAGCTGATGATCTGTTTCTGGATGGATAGGCTGTTTACAAGTCTTGATCTAAGCATGCTTAAGGGTAAGAATAAGTATGTAAACGGTATGAGTGATCCATGTAGCTAATCTATTACTAATGAAATGCTTAATCGTCACTATTGTGTTTGTTCCAACAGATGCTGGATGCTGCCAGTAATTATCATTTATATATAGCATTAACAGACATTTAGCATAGAAGATTGTATTCCATTGGAACTCTTTAGTTTCAGTTTGTATAATGAAGGCAACATTTATTTAATGAAGACAATTAACCTCAACTGAAGTGGCACATACTCATCCATCATCTGACAGGAGATGATATAGAGGTTTCTAGGAAGGAGGCCTTTCAGAAGCAGGCTGCAGCTGCTGAGACAGCTAATCCTTCCTCATTTGCACTGGGGAAGGAGTGTGAGCAGCAGTGTATGTATGATTTTTTTCTGGTAGCAGCATGTTTCTCCAGCACATTTCATGTTAACAGAGCGTGCACAGACTGACAATTCTGTGTAGGAATGTTACTATGCACAGTCATATGGCAGATGTACAGCTCTCCCATGCAACCATATTAGGGTTATCTCCATCTTTGCTAAGAGCTAAGACCTCACTGAGTTACTTAGTATGTGTTTTCTCGCCCTTTAAATGAGTTAAAGTCACATATGTTCTCATACTTGTGGCTCACAGCAGAAATTACCTACAGAGAATGCAAAGCCCCAGTGTTCATATTTTTTTGGTAAGACAACTATTCCTAAGCTTTGTCCGCTACTTGCTATGCTGAAAGTGTCTTCTAGGTTATGAGAGGTATTCATTTCACAGTGAAATTTCTATCAGGTGCTGGAACAATAAGAGCAAACAGAGTCTTTGGGTTTGTAAACACAAAAAAGCAACAATTAGACAACATTACCATCCTATAGAATTAGATACTGAGCCTGGTTTTAGTCTATATGTTTAAAAATAATGTCCAAGACGTAAGCTACCAAGGTGATCTCAAGTCTAGAAAATCTGTCTCAAGAAAAGTGAAAGAGTGCAACTTATATAGTATTTAGGCAGATTTTTTTAAAGCTATTCAGTATAGTTGGGTGGTTAATAAACAATTGCTTATAGATTTTCAATCCTAAATTTTTGAGGAAAGATTTGACCTCTGACAAAAAATCTGCTTCACTCAAAAGCATCTTTTTATCATGTGTTTTGAAATGCCCCAATTATTCATATATCACTTGAATTTTTCAATCTGCAGCTGACACATTTCAATGCTGAATCACACTGCAGTTCAGGGACCTTATGCATCCCAATGATGAGGCCCAAGTCCTCCTTTCTGCACCACCATGCAAAGGAGCTCTCAACTCTCTTCTGCCACCAAAGTGCCAAGGGACATCTTGCCTCCTGGGAAATGCCTGTCTGGAGGCTAGGCACTGACCTTTTGCTGGGCATCTGCACAAAACTCCCTCAAGGCATGTCATGGTTCCTTGAGACTTACCATTGACATACTTTCTCTCACCCCTATTTTTTTACTTAACACTGTAACATTGCAGTTTTACTCTGCAGCCTGGCCATTAGAGCAAATACAATTTGCATGTAGCATGCTGAGAGCTACTTAAATGACAGCCCCCTTTTAGATACGCTCTCTGTGTCTGACCGTTCAGAGGATTTAAAGAGCAGAAAGAATTTCTGAGAAAAACAGCTCAGGATTATTATTATTTTTTAATTTGTCTTTTATTATTGTAATTGCTAATGAAATTACCACCCTTGAAATATGTTCATGGTCCTGGCAGACTCACAAATTCTTGGGTCAGAATTCAGTTCTAGCCTACAGATGATAATGTACTAATCTCACATCTCTGATCTAGCCAGTGCTGCAGCATTAACATGGACAAGCTGGAGAGGTGTGGCTGGCAAAGTGGTGGGTAAAGATGCAGATTGCCTAGAAGTGAGTTTTTAAATGTAAAAGTTCAGTCATTTAAAATGGACAAACATTCATGCTCCCAGACTGACACTGTCCCTTTAATAAAATGGCTTGGTCTCCCACTCAGCCCTGGCTAAGTGCCTGACTTATCTTCACTTAGACTTTGTCCAAGTAAACAGCAATAATGGACCATAAAGGATCTAGATGCAAGGTAGAGACATTTACAAGTGGACAGGCTATTTATTTACAGATTGTTTTATTTTTGTAAACAAAACATATTTGCCAGTGTGAGCTACTGGACATAATTTCTACACTGACAGCTTATTCAATCCACTGTTTGTTTTTTGAATGCCTTCGAAGGTAAGGGACTTAGTTATTTCCTTTATATTTTCAGAGGACTGCACTGATGGTTTGTATATATGTAACTGCTTTATAGACTTTAAAAGAGGATTTAGGGAAGATATTTAAATTTAATATATTCTCTTTGTTATTAGTGATATTTAAAATCAATTATTGTAAACTACAGGCATTTTTTGTAAACCAGTTTTAATAGAGTTCAGTATGCTCTAGAAATATGTAGAACCACTGACTTAAATGTTGTAATGTTCATTTTATTAGTGTATATTGTCAGAATATTGTCTTTGTGGAAAATATTGCACACATTCTGTTAGAGCCATATAACATTAATAATACATTCATGTATTGAGTTTCATTACTAAGCTATTGTTTCTTAGAAGAGTAAGTTGTTCATACTGATGCTCCAGGCCTAGGTAATATATCTGCATCCCAAAACACCCAGATCTTTGTTTATTCCTAACGATTAGGAATTTCTAGAAACAACCTATATTCTATGTTGTATAATATTTCTGCTATTTTAATATAAATAGTTTAATAGCAAAGTATGTTAATAGCAACATGCTTTAGTAACAATTTCTTTTACCCTTCTTTGGGAGCACCGTGTTTGTTCTACCCATATTTCTTCTCTCATAAAACAGGTTCTAATATACATGTGAGCTACAGTTGGGATTGTACTGGCTGCTATGCTTAAATCACCTACCCGGTGACTTTTTACAATTGTTTTTTATATGTTGTCTCTAGAATTGTCCTTCCCACAAAAGTGTATTCTCTATGTAAAGTATCTATATTTACTTATTTGCGTCTATTAATGGAGTATTCACAGGTGCCTTTTTACTTTTAACAGGAAGGAAAAATCGTCTAATTTGGGATCAAAGTCACTATGCGGAAAAAACATTTTTTCTTTTGCTTTTTACTTCTGGCTGTGACAGCAAACCAAGTAGTATATGGGCAAAACAGAAAGAAAGGAAAGAATTCTTATTCTCTCATGCAAAAAGATGAAGGTAAAACCATTTTCTTAAAATTTCTGATTGACCATGTTATATGTCTCCGCATATTTCAGGATGATTAGCTAGTAATTGACAACTTTGTATGCATTTATAAAATGTGGTTTACTTTGATTATCAGACCTGGAAAATACTGTGGTGACATTTACTTGGTCATGGACTCCACTTTGATTATGGTTTTCATTGACACACATATCTTTTTTAAGATAAACGATAAGGAGCCTAATTTTTAGTTTGAAATTGCATGTGGAGAATTTTGTATACAAAATCAACTAAAATTCTGAAACAATCCCATCAAGACCCTAATTTGAAAATTTTTGTCTGTAGACTGTACTTAATAGTACTGGTATGAATTAAAGTAACTTAAATTTAGTTACTTGACTTTAGTAGAATTTCTTGGCATTTACAGTGGAATTTGTCCTTAGGATTTTTACTGGGAAGACAGAGGAATTCTTGGGAAAATTATTTGAGTATTGGGATTGATGCAGAGAATTATCTGAAATCTGTTATGCAGGTGTGCCCATCATTCATAGATTTAACTTTCTTCTTCCATTACAGGTGATATGTGTCTCGTTGATATAGTCTTTATCTTGGACAGTTCAGAAAGTGCCAAAAATCAGTTGTTTGATTTACAGAAGAATTTTGTTCAAAACTTAACTGACAGCATTTTCAAGATGAAGCCGGTTAAGTCTCAGAAGTATAATGTCAAATTAGCAAGTATGCAGTTCAGCAGCACAGTCAGCATTGATCATCCTTTTACAGCCTGGAAAAATGTGCATAATTTTAAAGAGAAAGTCAAGTCTCTGGGCTTTATTGGCCATGGCACCTACTCCTATTATGCAATTTCCAATGTCACTCAGCTGTTTAAAACTGAAGGTCGTAAGAGAAGTGCAAAAGTGGCTTTTTTGATGACTGATGGTGTGGATCATCCAAACAGCCCTAAAGTTGATGGTATAGCCACAGCAGCTAGGAGTCTTGGAATACATTTTTTTACCATTGGCCTTTCTAAGAAAAAAGTCCAAGAAGAAAAATTGCGCGTGATATCTGGTGATTTATCCTCTAAACATGTCTTATGCCTGGATGATCCAAACCTGCTAGTTGATGTAACATTGGAACTGGTAAGTAATGCTGATGTTAACCTTGTCACCTGTCTATCCATGACATATTTAATTTAACTTTGATAGGTTAGTCCTGAAGGCAGTGCAGAGGTTTGCAGGTGAACCAGGGCTGGAGCTGGTTTTGGGTTTGGAAGTTCAGGAAGCTTGTGAATCACAGAATGGCAAGGGTTGGAAGGGACCTCGGGAGATCATCTAGTCCAACCCTCCTGCTAAAGCAGGTTCACCCAGAGCATGTTGCACAGGACATCGTCCAGGCGGGCTTTGAATATCTCCAGAGAAGGAGACTCCACAACCCCCCTGGGCAGCCTCTTCCAGTGCTCTGTCACACTCAAAGAAGTTTTTCCTCATATTCAACTGAAACCTCTTATGTTTCAGTTTGTGCCCATTGCCCCTTGTCCTGTCACTGGGCACCCCTGAGAAGAGCCTGCTTTCATCCTCCTAACTTCCACCCTTAAGATATTTGTATGTGTTGATGAGATCCCCTCTCAGTCTTCTCTTCTTCAAGAGCTGGCCTCCAGCATTGGTAGCAGAGGTCAGTAACTATGGGCTTAAGAACTAACTTCAAGGAAGTCTGATGAAGCACATAGAGGTTTTTTAATTTTCTTGAGTGGGACCAGATTTCCAAAGTACTGTAAATCTGCCACTGTAGCTGATAATTAAAGGCACTTAGCTGTCTGACCTTCTAGTGCAGCATAAGGCACACATAAGAAAAGGTAGGGAATTTCTTAGAGTAGACAAAAGTGTTGCTGTGAGAGAGATGTCAGTTGGACTTGACCTTTCTCACTTCTGAGCAATAATGTGCAAAGTGTTGGGGCGGTCTAGGAAGTATTTGGGGTTTAAAATCCTGGTGAGTATTTTTAAGTAAGGAAGACTTTGAAAATAATAAATTAAGACAATTTGGAGGAAAATAATTCTTAGAAAATGCAATACCTTTAATTAGGGAGTAGTCCATACAGAATTTATGTAATATTTTTGTAGTCTCTTAAAAGTGGTAAAAAACTAATTTGGAAAATTTAAAATCGGAAATGGAAAATTGCTAGTTGATATGTGTAGAAATAAATGATTATGTTGTGCAACTAAGCGCATGGCTAGACATCTCACAGATTCAGTAAGTGAAAGGCATTTCTGAAATAATTCATGTTGTTACAAGTCTATGCTGTACCTGTGAAGGTATATATTTACCAAAGAAAAATTATTCCCTGAGATCTCATGGAATGGTGCTGTTGTGAATGTTTCTGTGGTGCATGTCTCTGGTACATGAGGAGACAGGACAGAGGGAGCTTCCTCCTCTCAGGCGCTCTCCAAGGAGTTGTGTGCATGGACAATAATAGCTCAGCTGCACTGATCACTGATTGAGGGATAGGGTGTTTTTCAGCACATAGAGTGTGTCTCTGAGAGTATGATAATACTGTGGAAGGTAATTTGTTCTCAGGGATAAGGCTAATGAAATCACTGAGTCCTTCCCCTATATATTATATGTTAGTAAAACCTTCCATAGTAAGGCCTTTCATTAGGAAGTCTTCTCATATTCCCCTTGTCAGCATTGCTCCTTAATATTGTATGTTTAGTTGCCCCATTACATCTCATTTGTTTTCTGATCATTACGGGTGACATGAAGCAACCTCCTGTTCCTACCAGAGAACCCTTTTTCATACAAGTAGTACCACAAACTGGTTCTTACCGCTGTGGGGAAAGGATGAAAGATGAAGGTATTAAAATTCTGTACTATTCACTTTGGAAATTCTGTAAACTAGAGAAGAAAAATGGTTAAATTAGTACTCTGTTAAATTAAATCTATATGAAAGTAAAATTTTTCTTTTCTTTTCAGGAAGCCTTGCTTCAGAAGCAGGTAGGTTTTTTGAGTTTTGTGTGTTTTGATTACTCTTATTTATACTAGATCTCCCGATGTCTGCTTCTTCTGTAATGCCACAATACTCCAGGGTTAATCAACCTTCCTTTGCTGAGTAAAGTTTCCAACCATGGTTGCTTTTATTTTAACTTTCATCCATTTCTTCCATCCCTTCTCCTGAGAAATCTACAACTTCTGTTCATTAGTGGGTGGTCTCAACAGTAAGACGTAAAGAACTCTTCCTATCAGAGTGGAATAGGACTACTACAACACATGCAAGTTCATGAGCGGTCTCATTAGAAAACAGTAGCAATGTCAGAATTGTCTAAAAATTATGCAAGATTTCACAGTACTATATACTATATATAGATGCTACCTTAAATGTTTGTAGTTACAGTAGTAACAGAATTATTTGGGTTTTTTATAAATAAATCAAGCAACTGATCTTGATTGGGCTATATGGAAGTGTTATGTTGATTACTCTGTGGATAGACAAAACCAGAGTTTTTTGCTTTAAAAATTTGAAATAATACATTTGAAAATATTCTCCTTAATGTTTCTATTAACTTTTAGTGTATGCGGAAGAACTGTGGATGTGAAAAGGGAGTAAAAGGAGACAAAGGTGATTCTGTAAGTATGCATTCATTTGAAAAGCCTCCAGAATTTGAATTTTAAGTGGTTACTATGTCTGTAAAAAGCAAGACATTACCTGTGCACGTACTGCAGAAAGAACTGATGTATCATCACATATCACTGTGAAAGGCCACTGTTATAAGAGCTCAGAAAAAAAATCTATCCATAATCACAAACTGTCTTGGAAATATATTTATATTATTGGATAATAAAACACTGTGGATAAATACATGATTTTGAAGCCCAAATAAAAAAGTTGTTCTTGAATCTTGCAAAGGGGAAGGAAAGGTCCATTAGACAAAGGTTTACTTCCACCAGCAGCTTTTATTTGTGTAAGGGATAAAGGTTCAAAAGATTGAGGGTGATGGCATATATGAAGAAAGGTCTAAAACTCTGCCTCCAACACTTTTCTCGTGACACTTCAACACGTAACTTTCTTGGCTCTGCTAAAAAAGAGAGTAGTGGGAGTTCAGACAGTGTGCGACCTCTTTAATCCCTTTTGTATCTTTAATAGCTCCCCCAGAGACAACCAAGGTACATGCAGAGGTTTTTGCCTTTCTCCCTAGATGCTAAGCAACTGGTCAACCATATGTGTAGCAGGTTATGACAGCAGGGCCTATCATCCAATCTCTTGGCTCTGGATAATGTGCCTCTGGAACTAAAACCCCTGTTTCCAATTTAAAATTTAAGATCCAAGAATTTTAAGTTACTTTATCCAAAAAGGTTAGATGTAGCCTATTATGTACGTATTTTTATGTATACACATATACACCAAGCTTTCTAGTCCCCACTTTCATGATCATCCAAACAGGAATAATGGTGTAGTAATTTTTCATTTTGGGACTGCAGAATATTGACACTAAGCTCTTCTATGCATGGGGGCTTCTAAGCAGAGAAGATCAGATAGTGGTGGGTAACTCTGAAAAATGGGGAGGAGGAACTGTGTATGTCTTTTGTGACACCTTCCTGGTTAAGATTTTCGAATGTTGTATTTTGTTGAATATTGATTTTAAAAATCACAGACACCTTATAATACCAGATTTTTTTTAGAGAAACTGGAGAATTTTATCCTCACAATGGTAATAACATTTTCCTACTTTGTTTCAGGGCAGTGCTGGTAACAGAGGGGAAAGAGGTGAGCCAGGACCAAAAGGAAACAAGGTAAAGTGAATTTTAAAAAAAAAAGCAAATGTCTGTCTAGTTTTATGCAAACCATAGAGGTGAATATAGCAAAGGAGAAGTATGTTAAAATATGGTTTAAAAGATTGGCTTTTGCTATGAGAGGTTTATAGTTCGCTGCTTTAGAAGTGAAAGAGAAAAATTTGAAACTAAACTGCTATCAAGTTAAAACTGCCTATCATTCCAGTTTTTCTCTGACAGCAGAGGTCTCTGAATCTAGCTGAAGGCTCTCTAAGCTCCAAAGAGCTTTCTAACAGTACACAAAGCTCTTGAGTAGAGAGGCTTGCTCTGATGACTAAGATTTCAGTCATTTAATAACAGTAGTTGAGTTTTCTGTTAATATTCAGGAATTGTGTGTCCTTGATTGTGGGAGGAAGAAGTGTGGATGTTCGTAAATAGGAAAAGCAACTTCTGCTCCTTAAACAGTGTTCTCGGGTTTAGTGTAATAGTGATAAATAAAAGAGCAATACATACTTCAGTTGTATTCCTTTGCTTCCAATAGGGTGATGCTCAAAAAGGAGATCGTGGAGAAAAAGGTGAAGAGGTATGTGACTACTACAGTGCTAAATCGTGTTTGGTCTTATCAGATTATCTTCCAGGTCCTGAATGACAGTTTAGTTCCACTGAACTGAAAATGCGTTTTCCATTTTTCACACATCTACTTTATTCAATTATATAGAGCACCTCAACTAAGTTCTGGTTTAGAGAAGTACCTATATTGAAAGAAACAATCTAACCATGTGCTTAAAGTGTAGAGATGGGATGCTACTGACAAAAGGAACTTTTGAAGCTATGTGATTTTGTAGTGACTTGCATTAGACTTATCCCAAAGATAGAATTGAAAATGTGATCACTAAAAACATCTAGATAGTCCTCCAGTGGCTTCTGACATCTGATATTTCTCAGCTTGAATTCTTGTTGATTGACAATAGAAAGATTAACACTACTCCATGCATAAGATAAATTCAGTTTAAAAGTCCCATTTAAATGGTAGTGTATATCTGCTAAGAGGCTGGCAAACTGAGTGGCATATTTACAGCTAATGTTATGAGGGAAACATACACATCCAAATTTGCAGAGAATTACATGTTAAATGACTCCAGAGAGATATTTTTTTTGTTGTAAATAGTTAAATTTCTGAAATGTAATTCCTTACTGTTTTTTCTTTTCCTACTTAAATTAGCAGTATGTTATGCTTTTGCTTTCTCTTTTATGATTTTTTCCTTTTTTCTTTTTTCTTTTTTTTTTTAAATTTTTGAATAGGGAGCTCCTGGATACAGGGGAGACAAGGTAAGATTTTTATAGAACAGAAGTAGTCTGAAAATAGATTGTCACTTGCTGACAGTGTATGTGAAAGGATGGAAGGAAAAGCCTGTCTTGTCTTTTTGTCATGAGACCTCCTAATGCAATCCCTAGAAGTAAATTAATCATTTATGTAAATGCTTTCAGACTGGCTTGTTGGAATAAAAAAAAAAAAAGGATGAGAAAATACAATCTAAATATAAAAAGAAAAATGTCAAAGATCAGAAATAAAGCTGCTGGAAGGAAAAAGAAAGTTGAGGGTTGAATAAGAGGTTAAATAGAAAGAATGTGAAATTGTTTACTACAAACACAAATAGATGTGACAATCATTAGCTTTAAAAAACTTACCATAAGGAAGTTTACTTTTAAGCTAATTATAACTTGCAAGGGCTAATGCTTGATCAAAAAAAAATCTCAAGATAGGCTCTTCAAGAAGCTAAAAAAATTATACACTTCAATGACTTGCAAGATTCTAGAGTCGAAATGTATGTTGCAAAGTGGACCATCACAGCCAGAACAGAAACAGAAATAATTCCATTTTGACTGCTTGGTTTGGACATTTACCTTGCTACAAGAATTGATAATAAAAGCAATGCCTCTCTGAATCTTTGTATTTATTAGAAAAATGCTAAACTCAATTTTATGGAAACATTTAATGGAAATGGGAAAAGTAGGCTCATATGTCTACTTTTCATGTGTCTATTAATATGTTAAATCATCAGTGGAACACATTAGTAATTCTCTTCATTCCATTTGTACAATCTCACAATTGTTATTCATGAAAATATCAGACATCACAGTAATGAAATCAGAATATAGAGAGGATCTCTGGAGGCAGAGCAGTGAGGTGGAAAAATACAGCAAAACTTATTAGATATTAAATGTATTATCCTCTTACGATGTAGACTGGAAATTTTGTAGGCATTCTCAGAGAGAAAAAGTATCTATCTTGAGTAGAGCAGACAATACCTTCTACAGATCGTATCTAATGATGCCACTCTCAGGTCCTCAGAATCTACTAAACCCCTTGTGCTACTGAACTGCTTGCACAGTCATTAACGCGTGTGGTGTGGTGTAATCAAAACATCTTGTTTCTCTGTTAACCTTTTGATTTCTTATAAAGGGTGAAAGAGGAGAATGTGGATCCCCAGGAATAAAAGGGGAAAGAGTAAGTATAATTTTTATTTGAACTCTTTCACGTTGATGAAGAAACTAGAAAATCATGTTATGCATTCATAAACATAGCTAAACATAGTAAAGATTATTGTAAATTTGGAACATCTTATAATTCCCTGGCGGTACAGATACATTCATAATAGAAATGTGATTTGTAGAAACTGAACCCATAGTTCACCATATTCTTTTTTCCATTTTGCAGAAGAAATGTAGTCACTTACCTAAAACAAAAGCTTTACTGACCAATGCAAAGCCCTGCTTACAAAGGACTGTGAGCATGTTACAGGGTTTGCCAGATTTTTTCCTTAAAATATTAATTTTCATTCAAGTGTATAAAGTTATATTGCAATAGAAGCAGGTTCTTACACAACCTGAACAACTTTCAGGTGTACCAGCCTATCGTGATGTACATTCACACTTCTATCTAGTCCTCCTCTTCTTTTAACCTGAAGTGCAGAAGTGATACAAGTAAATACAGATTTTTACCTGGTATTTACACTCTGAAAGATGGAAGGATAATGTACTCCTGCGTGAGATAATTTATCTTGAGTTCATGTAAGCAGGTTTGTATGATTACTACAAACCACTGATTTACAGTTAGAGTTAAGTACCGCCAACTAGATTACAATTGATCATTCTGTTAAAGCACATTTCTTCAGTTTTAACATCCATGTTATGTTTACCTTTATCAAAGACCAACTTGAAAAGTTTGTATTTCCCAGAACCTGTTATTTAATGATAAATTTCACGTAGGAATTAGGAAATATTCACAGAAGTATTTGCGGCAAAGAAAAAAGGGTGTTATACTATAATAAAAATCTAGTGTGAGTATATTTTGTGAGATGCTGGGGTTCAAAATGGCAGAGAGAGTCAGAAAAGGCTGAAATATCAATGAAAAAGGAGAAGGAGTTGCATCTCTCAGAGGAATAAAGAAATATCATAACTTCTTTGTCCAGGCAATACATAAGAAATAGCATGAGGTTATGTGAAATGTCTACTAAGATAAAAGGAAGTTTTTCAGAAGCTGGCAAAGAACATCATCAAAACAGACAGGAAAGCTGGATGTAGAAAACATGCCAGGTCTGCCGGAAATTTGCTTGTTTCATTTCTGTTGAGGACAGTGATGAAAAAAAAAGATTGACATCTGCAGAGGATCAGAGATTGTAATGGATTATGGACTTCAAGAACTTATTGAAAAAATGAAAATTACAGTCACTTCCAGAATTCCCAGCTTCACATTTACAAATGCAGAAGATAGAACAAAATTATTCTTTTTTTTTTCTTTTAATGAAAGTAGTCTATGCTGGACAAAATAATTAGAAACAGAATGTACAAGGCCAAATGTAAATTTAATATTCTGAGGTGGATCTTTAACTGCAGTGATGGGTATTGAAATATAATTGGCAGTAGTGTTGTCTGATTTGAAAAAGTTCCATTTTGCTCCTGCTGCTTTCCAATCTCAATAATCAGGCTGACTTCAGCAGCTGTTCTGATGCTGTGAATTTGAGTTTCTTCAAAAGCTAATCAGGCTTGAAATTCAGAAAGCTTGTGTTTGGCTTTGAAATAAAAACTGACTCCAATCATATGTGTGTATTCTACCAAAAGTAGCTATCATCGCATCAGCATATTGCGGTTTGTGCCACCCATTGCTTGTGTAGTTTTGTAAATGGGCTAGAACTAAGGAGGGTTATCTGCTCTCTCTGATGACTGATGCTTGGCCTGGGAGAAAATGCCAGGAAGTAGATAATTGTTAAAAAATTCTGAATCTGAATCTGTTGAGGAAGACAGTCAATGGAGTGGCTCGCTAGGGATAAGCCTGAGGGCAACATGCCAATGTTTGAGGGACAGTGTGCTAGTGAGGTCCTTTGGTCTGCCATCTCAGTGGAGATAGGGGATGGAAGTCCATGTGGCAGCAAATATTCAAGGCTTATTGGTGTGTTAGAAACCACAGAAGCACCTGAGAATGGTCACATAGGAATTAGGGCCTCTTCCCCAGAAAGGTGGCAGGATCAATAGCCCAACTGAAGTGCATCTACACCAATGCAAGCATCATGGGCAACAAACAGGAGGAGCTGGAAGCCATTGTGCAGCAGAAAAACTATGATATAGTTGCTTCATGGAAACATGGTGGGATGACTTGAACAACTGGAGTGCTGCAATGGATGTCTATAAGCTCTTCAGAAGGGATAGGCAAGGAAGGAGAGGCGGTGGTGTAGCCATATATGTTAGGGAGTGCTTTGGTTGTCTAGAGCTTAATGATGGTGATGATAGGGTTGAGTGTTTATGGGTAAGAATCAGGAGGAAGACCAACAAGGCAGATATCACAGTGGGAGTCTGTTAAAGACCACCCAACCAGGATGAAGAAGCAGATGAAATATTCTGTAAGCAGCTGGAAGAAGTCTCAATCGCTAGCCCTTGTTCTCATAGGGGACTTCAACTTACCAGATGTCCACTACAAATACAGTACAGGAGAGAGGAAACGGTCTAGGAGGTTCCTGGAGTGTGTGGAAGACAACCTCCTTACACAGCTGGTGAGTGAGCCAACTAGGGAAGGCACCCGCTGAACTTGTCTGTGAACAGAGAAGGACTTGTGGGTGATGTGATGGTTGGTGGCCATCTTGGGCACAGCGATCACAAAATGATGGTTTTCTACTCTTGCAGAAGGTAAGGAGGGGGGTCAGCAGAATTGATACCTTGGACTTCTGGAAGGCAGACTTTGGCCTGTTTAGGAGATTCGTTGACAGAGTCCCTTGGGAGGTGGTCCTGAAGGAAAAAGGAGTCCAGGAAAGCTGGACATTCTTCAGTAAGGAAGTCTTAAAGGCATAAGAGCAATCTGTCCCCATGTGCCAAAAGATGGGGAAAAAGTCCGGCCTGGGTGAACAGAGAACTTTGGCTGGAACTCAGGAAAAAAAGGAGAGTTTATAACTTTTAGAAGAAGGAGCAGGCAACTCAGGAGAACTACAAGGATGAGGTGAGGTTATGCAGGGAGAAAATTAGAACAGTCAAAGCCCAACTACAACTTAATCTGGCTACTGCCAAAAAAGGCAATAAAAAATGTTTCTATATATGTATATATACATTAGCAACAAAAGGAGGGCTAAAGAGAATCTCCAACCTTTACTGTATGCAGGGGGAAACATAGTGACAAAGGATGAGGAAAAGGCTGAGGTACTTAATGCCTTCTTTGCTTCAGTCTTTAATAGTCAGATCAGTTGTCCTCTGGGTACCCAGCCCCCTGAGCTGGAAGACAGGGATGGGGAGCAGAACAAAGCCCCCATAATCCAAGGGGAGATGGTTAGCAACCCGCTACACCACTTAGACACACACAAGTCTATGGGGCCAGGTGGGGTGTATCCAAGGGTACTGAGGGAGCCAGCGGAAGTGGTCACCAAACCACTTTCAATCTTTTATCAGCAGTCCTGGCTAACCGGGGAGGTCCCAGTTGTGTTGAGGTTAGCAAATGTGATGGCCATCCACAAGAAGGGCTGGGAGGAGGATCTGGGGAACTACAGGCCTGTCAGACTGACCTCGGTGCCAGGAATGTTATGGAGCAGATCATCTTGAGTGCCATCACACAGCACATACAGGACAACCAGGCAGTCAGGCCCAGTCAGCATCGGTTTATGAAAGGCAGGTCCTGCTTGGCTAACCTCATCTCTTTCTATGACAAGGTGACCTGCTTAGTGGATGAGGGAGAAGCTGTGGCTGTTGTCTCCCTGGACTTTAGTAAAGCCTTTGACACAGTTTTCCACAGCATTCTCCTGGATAAACTGGCTGCTCATGGCTCGAACAGGCATGCTCTTTGCTGAGTAAAAAACTGGCTGGATGCAGGACCCAAAGATTCATGGTGAACAGAGTTAAATCCAGTTGGTGGCCTGTCACAAGATGTGTTCCCCAGGGTTCAGTGTTGGGGCCAGTTCTGTTGTAATCAACAGTCTGGATGAGGGGATCAGGTGCAACCTCAGTAAGTTTGCAGATTATGCCAAGTTGGGCAGAAGTGTTGATCTGCTTGAGGGTAGGAAGGCTCTGCAGAGGGATCTGCACAGGCTGGATCGATGGGCCGAGGCCAACTGTATGAGGTTCAACAAGGCCAAGTGCTGGGTCCTGCACTTGGCCTCACAACAACCCCATGCAATGCTACAGGCTTGGGGAAGAGTGGCTGGAAAGCTGCCTGGTGGAAAAAGACCTGGGGGTGCTGGTTGACAACCAGCTGAATATGAGCCAGGAGTATGCCCAGGTAGCCAAGAAGGCCAACAGCATCCTGGCTTGTATCAGGAATAGTGTGGCCAGCAGGAGTAGGGAAGTGATCATGCCCCTGTACTTGGCACTGGTGAGGCCGCACCTCGGATAGTGTGTTCAGTTTTGGGCCCCTCACTACATGAAAGTCATTGAGGTGCTGGAGCACGTCCAAAGAAGAGCAACAAAGCTGGTGCGGGGTCTGGAGCACAAGTCTTATGAGGAATGGCTTAGGGAACTGGGGTTGTTCAGTCTGGAGAAGAGCAGGCTGAAGGGAGACCTTATCAACCTCTACAACTGCCTGACAAGAGGGTGTAGTGAGGTGGGTGTTCGTCTCCTCTGCTAAGTAATATGTGCTAGGACGAGAGGAAGTGGCCTCAAGTTGTGCCAGGGGAGGTTTAGGTTGGACATTAGGAAAAATTTTTTCACAGAATGGGTTGTCAAGCATTGGAATGGGTTGCCCAGGGAAGTAGTTGAGTCCCCATCCCTGGGGGTATTTAAAAGATGGGTAGATGAGGTGCCTAGGGACATGGTTTAGTGGTGTACTTGGCAGTGTTGGGTTAATGGTTGGACTTGGTGATCTTAACGTCTTTTCCAACCTAAACAATTCTATGATTCTATGATTGAGTGTGGCCGCGTAGGTATCACTGCTAAATTTGTCAAGGCTATTAGAGCTTTAAAATGTGACACGTGCCTTGAAAAATGCAACCGTCTGCCGGTGCTTCTGTGTGTGGAAATGTTGCAAATTAAAAGAAAGCTGAAAGCTATTTTTGCTTTAGAAATAAATTACAGCTGAGTATTGAGTCAAGTGGAAGTGAAATCCTGTAGAATATGCATTCTGGTGACTGCAGTAAAACAGTGCAGCAGAAGGATTTGTGAACAATCTACAGCGGCAGTAACTGGTAAGACTCATTAAATGGAGAAATGACAGCTAATGGAATGAAAAAATACGTCGTTTTACGGTTTTTTGGATAAATTTTTTAAAATATTTTTTGTGAACTGTTAGTGTGATTTAGCCATGCTTCCAATCAGCAGTTTGAGTTAGCGAGCAAAGTTACCTGAAGTTATTCTGGTGTAATCACTGCAGCATTTTTTAAAGAATTCTACATCTAATATGCTTCTGGAAATTGAATGTAAAGACCTGGTGCAAATAACAACTAGCTAATCAAATAGGTAAGTTGTTAAGTAGCCATTCACAATGTTTGTTGTAGATGAAGAGTATTTTAACCAAATATTGAGGATGGACTGTAACAGGCAATTACTGAATGAAGAATGAGAACAGTGGTATTCTGGAAAGAGAATAAAGTCCCTAGAAAATGTTTGAACAGAGATATGAGTCATTACAGGTACACTGTGGTTTTCAATACTTTAAAGCAGGTAATTGCTATTTCCTGTTAATCTGATAATTGAATCTTATTTTTCCTCAGGGCTTGGAAGGTCCTTTTGGCCCTAGGGGACCTCGGGGACCTCAGGTAAGGGAACTAAAAGCTACCAAATAGAAATAAAACACATGATATTCTGTAAGTTTCTTCTACGTACAACCTGTCAACTCTGTGGAGAGCAGCATGTTTGGTGCATGAGGAACCAAGATAGCAGAGTCTGGCAAATCTTTGTCTTTTGGAAATAATTTTCGAAGAAAAAATCTTGGCTGCTGCTGCTTAAAGCTACTCAGAGGTGTGTGGCCCACTTGATCTTTCCAGCTGCAGAGCTCTCCTCTAAGAGTAATAACCCTGGGAACTACAACCCACTTAATGACTAAAAGGAAGATAGCATGCAATGAGCTTGAGGATTATTGATCTTAAGTTACGTATTTATATTAGCAGATTATATTATATATTTCTATTAGCACACCCTGCCTCAAGCACATTGCTATTTTACTGCTGGGACACTGGGTTGTAGTAATGTCAGGGAATTAAAATTTATCTCAGGTCACCATCAGAGAGAGATGTAGGGGAAGTGATTTCTTACAAACGGAGCTAAATAGGATGTTACAGTTTAGTTTATTTGCTTGGACAGAAGAGAGAATACAAAAATACGGCAAATTCAGGAGCAGGAGAAGAGAGGAATGGAAAGCTTCAGATAGAACAGATGCAATTCACGTGGAGTAGAAAGATATCCTTTTTGCCAGCACAGGTTATTGAATATTAACAATAGTCAATAAGTAGGGCACTTCACAGGATATGACACAGAAAATTCTTGTCATTTAGAGCTTAGCATTATGCTGTTTTATTATACCCTGTTCAGGCCAAATTCAAAAGAAACCTTACATGCATCTTCAAAGGCAACTCATTCTATACTTTGACTTTTGCATAGGGTATCAGTGGACCTCCAGGTGAGCCAGGCCCAAAAGGCATTCAAGGAAGCAAGGTAAGATGTAGTTGTTTATGTGTTAATGTTATTTATATAGGGAGAGAGGATGCAGAAACTCTGCGTAGAATCTTTATACTCTACTATCCTTTTTCCTCAGTAGTTTTTTGTTGGTGGTGTCCTTTGCACAGCAGTAATGTACATCACATGCTTGGTGTACCATAGTGTCATTGTGTTATGAAGGCTTTTGTATCATTGACACATACTGCCAGTTCTCCATCTGGCTTTCTGAGCCCAGCCATCCGAGCCTGGGAGAGCATTTTGTAGTGCCACAATAGGGTGCTAGCAAGGACCTGCCTATAGCCACAGCACTTAGGTTGGAATTTAAATCACCTGAATATGTGCCTTGGCTTCTGCTATCACTTGGGAAATTTTTTCTAGAATATTTTTTACTAAAATGCCTTGTGTTTGGAGATTTTAAGTAATTCTAGATGGTGGTTATAAAATCTTTAGATTGAATTTTTAAAGTCATTTTTAATTGCTTGTATACTGTAAAAACTCAAGACAACTTTGAAATTGGTAGAGGTGTAAGATTTGATGAGGATTAATGCCTTAGTTTTATTTAGAATAGATCAGAGTTAAAAACTACAGCTTGTCAAGCAAAATCGGTTGGATAAAGTGTCTGATTAATGTAGGCACTCTTCTAGTTTGTAGACCTTGGGGAAATTGCTTTATGTGAAGACAGTTGTTTTGCCCATGGGACAGCTATTAACATGATTGTTTGGTACAGAAAGATCTTTCATGTATCAGTTTGAAAATGTAGGGTCTAATGACAAAGACTTTCTACCACAGCACCATTGATAGCCTGGTTAATAGAATGCAATGTCTAAGTCATACAAGGTAACTAAATTCACACAAAGCAATTTGCCAAACATGTGATGTTTAAACACTCATGTTTTGTTTCTTAGGCAACAATTTCATTTGAAGATTCACAGAAATAAGTTTAGATATGGGAAATGTGTATGGTAGAATGTTTGGAATACTGGCATTCATCATGATTTTCCTCTTCCTGACAAATGCTTTTTCATACTTCTTATTTCTTCATCTTTTCAACAAAATGCTTGATTAGGAAAGCTGCTACAGAATATTTCAGAAGTGGGGAAAGAAAGAGGATGATGGGTCTGAAAGAAGCTATTCATACATGTGGTGGAAAAGTCATGCCTCTCTTTAACTTCAGCACAGCAAATGACAGTAATTTTTTATCTGTCATTTCACACTGATGAGTCCAAGAGAGTACTACCAGATACTTTTATTATACAGTAACTGTATTTGTTGAATGTTATTTGTCCTTCTGTCAGTCTCTTCACACATTCATGTCTGTAGAATACATGCAGCGCTCTCTAAAATTCATCTACCTGGATGTAATATTTATGGTCTCTTATTACACTCTAGCTGCAGTTTTTCAGTATGAATAAGAAAGTTCCCTCTTTTTTCAGCTTCCAACTCTGCAACCTGCTGTTTAAAGTCTATAGTTGAGGTTTTTCTGGGCTCAGAAAATATTAAAATACTGCCAGACAAGTTTCATTAATACACTTAGGTAATGATACTTAAAGAATATAGCAGAAACTATGTATGTTTAGAAGTTATGTATTGTCCATACCTAGTGCCAAAGCTAACCTTTGGCATTTTGGAGCTTATTTGAGATGAGTGAAAAATTTTTTAATGATCAGTACAGATAATCACTGCTTGTTTACAGCTTAATAAACACCCATTCAGCTAGTAAAGGTCAAGGCCTTTTTTGGTTCAGACACATAGCAGTCTTTCCAGTATCTTTTGTCCTTACAGAAGGATTATTCAATTGCTCTTTTAAAATTAGTTTTCATGACACATAATACAATATCTCTGAGAAGTGGCAGTTATTTATAACTGCCTTGGATAAAATAAATAAGTCTATTCTTAGTGCAGTTCCTTATATCCGTGGCCTTTCCATGCTAGTACTTTCTACTTTTTGAGCTGAACTAGTGACTTCACCCTGGTTTAACAGAGCTAAAGGCAGTTTCATGGCATTAGTATCAATGTGACTTAACGCAGAACACCGCTGCTGAACACTTTTATTCATTGTTAGTAGGCCATGTTGAGGTTTGAAGGAGGAGATTCCATTCTTCAAAATATAAACTCTGTATCAAGCTCAGCCTACAGTTGTTTCAGGTCTCATTTGTGAAGTCTACAGTTCACTCATGTATCTGGCCTCCCGCACCTCTGTAAGGTGGTGCGGTACCCATTCTCTTGCTTTGCAGTGCCAGGCAGCAGACACAGCTGGTGACAGAGTCATCTGTGTGCTGTCCGGATGCCACTGGCTCTGGCAGCCACCAGCAGGAGAGGGCTGGTGGCTTTGCAACTTCCAACTAATTTAATTTGACTTGTCTGAAGCAAGGTAGCATGAAATCCAGAAACATTGTCCAAGAAATTACTTAGAAGAACTTTTCATACCTTACTTCTTCTGTTACTCATACGTATTTTCTTATTCTTCTTAAGCTGCTGGCTAATCAGTGTGAAGTCTTTCTGGCTGCACAATACTCTACTTCCATCTCTTTTCATGATATTGCCTTATCATGTTGCCAGTAATGAATTGAATCTCTCTCAAAGTCCCGCTGCCTGCACTGACCAGCTTCCCACTGACTACAGCAGGAACCCAGCCAGCCTCTTCCCATGTAGACACCTAAGTTTAGTAGCAATCATATGGAGCTGAATAACATACTTAACCCCTTAAAGTCTTTCTGATGCACTTTTCAATCATCTTTAATAACCTTTCTAATATACAAGCAAACTTCATCACTTTACTTTCACCCTCTTTTCAAGTCACGTATGAATATGTCGAACAACCTATATCCTGCACAGAGTGCAGCTTGTTTTTTCTTGTTTTGCATGCAGTTTTTGCTATTGAGCTAACTTTTTAAAAATTTTTCTCTATTTGCATTTCTGCAAAGTTGTAACATCTCAAAAACATCTAAGTAGTCTTATTACCATATAGGCAAACCTCCATAAAGAGGCTGAGGCATTTAAAATGACAAATTTGAACTCCGCTTCTATAAAAATAAAAATACATATTAACTCATCTTATATTATTATTAATTTGCCTGACTAAATATATTTCCATTTAACCAGATGCTGAACTTACATGTTAACAGTAAACCTACAACACAGTATAAAACATAATAACTTTTAAGAGAAAAACACTAGAGAGTAACAGGACATTTCTCTCACACACAGTTAGGAGTTGGGAACTGGTTATTTTCACTGTGTATCTCCTGTCTTCTGAAGCAGTCATCTTGGTCCCATTCCTCAAGCATGCCCTGAGCAATAAGATTATAAAATTGGGACATAAAATCAGGAAGTGGGCATGACATGTGTTCCACTCATAAAGAAGTGATGAATCAGGAGTACTTACGGTTATCATTTCAGAAGTGGTATTGGGTTTGTTTGTTTAAACTCTTAGACCAGCTACTAGAAATAGAGTACACATTTCTAGGAACCATGATATATGTGTGGAAAGACTGAAAACAACACATTCTTAAAAGCCACTGCTATAGTAAGAGCCTCTCTGGAAAATTTCATATGCATAGTAAGATTATGAATTAGAGTCTAAAGTTGTACATACAGATGCGTATTCAGACTTTAAAGGAAACAGTTAAGTTTGAATGTGGGTATTCATAGCAGTTATTCCCATTATAACATCTTGGGATAATGCTGTGAAAAATCCATCACTGCATATTTCCCTGACAATGTGTCCCAGGATGAACTGCTAAGGGATGCTGTTTCTTCTCTGATGAGTTATAAATTCTTTCCTTACTTATGTGGCAAGTTACATCATTCCCAGGAGACTGAAAAATCCAATTTCCTTGTGAAGAAGTATAGTTCCTAGGTACCTCAACTAGCTTAGAAATACAATATATCAATAATATCTGTTAAAATATCTATATCTACTTGCACTGTTGTTGCCAATGTTTACTTTAAAGATGAAGTCATCACATTTGAAAGATTATTTTTTACTATAGCTTAATCATTATCACATTATAGACTGAAATATAGAGTCTTTGTGTTCCTTACAGTATGTATGTGCTTTCTTAAAAGTAAAGAAATTACTTATATTGGCACTAACTGGGACTCATCATAACATAACAAACTATTTGGGGGGGGGAGGGGGGATGTAGACTGTTAAGTATGTTCCAAGCTTAAAATGGTATAGTTTTAATATATAAAAATATTAAGCTCAGATCAAGTAACTTTCCTTCCCATTGCTCTAGCTGACATTAGATGCCACCTGAAGGAAAATCCCCACAGGGAGAGAAAAAAATAATTTGAGCAGAGTGTTAGACAAAGAAAATAATTACGAAGAAGCTACTTCGAAAAGCAGACTTTTCCTTCTACATGTAGAGATAATGATATTTTTGCCAGCACTTTATGGTATTAATAAATTCCACATTACCTGTAGGACCAACCCCATAGAAAATAAAAGCCAGGCTTGCTAATAGCCATATGAATTTTGAAATATACAGTCTTTAAAATAGATTGAGTAGTTTAAATTTCCAAATTTTGCATGTTGTCTGGTAGAAGGTGGGGTTTCTTTGTGCATTAATATTCAGGTATCCTCTGCTATCAGTGAGAAAGCATTCAACAGAACAATTTTTCATCCTACTGCTTACACTGCCTATACCAGTACCTAGTACAGCTGCTGCGAGGCAGATTACATGACACCAGTCATTGGAAAGAAAACTGTGTTATGTTTTTATCATGGTTAAAAATAGAGCTTTTGGAAAAACATTAACTTTGGTAGGACTCCCATCTGCACTGAAGGCTGCACATAGATTAGCAGAGCTCTATCATGTGGGTGAACTTGTGGAGGAGCGAATGATTTGTGATAGGAAGCATCTCTCAGAGTTACTGTCCTTGGGAAGTGCTGTCAGGGGCTGTCAGAAATAGATGCAAGACACAATGGCTGTTTAGATGGCGGGACAAAAATTTTGGGAGACAGTTTCCAAACACAACAAAGTGGTTTGGTTTATTGTTTCACCTGAGAATGAGCCTATAGTTATCAAAGATCGTTTTTCAAAATGGAACAAGTTCCCACACCATTTCAGAGGTTTAGTTTTTACAAATGGAGCCAACGTGCTTAGTGGTGTTTGCTGTTCCCAGAGTAGCCTTCTTACACATAGTGGTGCTGCATGCTGCTGAATTATTATTTTTTTATCTGATAGATTATTTTTAATGTATTTTCACCTTTGCATATTTTTTTGCATTCATTCTGTGGGGCGTGCTAATACATCATGGCCCAATGGAGATCCCAGGCTACCTTCTCCATGAAAGAAATGAGGACTGTGAATTTGAACAGCTAATATTTAGCATACTGCCTGGCCTTACAGCAGTCTGTGCCTATTTCTTTCTCACTGAGGCACCTCTTCCTTGGAGAAGTCCATCCCTGACTAGACTGTTTCCAAGCCCTGAAGCTACATGGAGCTGTATCTGTTAATGTTGCTTGTCAAGTGGAGAGCTAGTGAAGTAAGAGTTGGTGGTGAGGTAAGGGAGCCTATAGGCTGAAAGGCAAAGCTTCTTGGGCACCAGGCTGGCGTGCTTGGCTTAATGTTCTTCCAAAACCCATACTTCATGCATCTTGACCAGCTTTGCAAGAAGCACAACTGTGGGTAAAAGTGGCAGAAGTATCTGTGTCCTTGAAGGAGCGTCTATGCATGGAAGTTGGCTTGCAAAACTTTCTACCAAAACCTTAATGCAACAGTTTTACTGTTTACAGCTCTCCTGAGGATGATTTTGCCCTGGAAGCAGAGCACACCATTGGGTGGGTCTGTGTAACTGCAGCACTGTGACTTTGCTGATACCATTCTTCCAGTGCACTTGTACATACGGATGCACAATCAGAAGCTGAACTTCCATTGATGCTTAGATGCCTGGGACCTGTTGGCATGAATGAAATTCAGTAGCCTAAATTACTACTGTTGGAAATTAAATAAAATTCTAAGTCACTAAAATCCTTATGAAAATGTGCTTTTAGTATGTATTATTTTCTAAAGAAACAGTATAAAACATTTCATTACATAGTTCCCCTAGTTCTTGCCTAAACAGAATTGGCCCAAAAAGCCCTGAAATTCAGCTAACTGTTGGCTTAAAGGAAAACAGTACTTAAACCAGAGAATTAAAGAGGAGACAAGAACGAGCTTTGGTTGTATTCACTTTATACAAGTTATTTTTGATCAGCTGATTTTAAAAGGACAGTTTGTTCAATGCCAAATTAATCCCATGGAGGAACTGAAGTCTAGAAGATAGGCCATTTGAGGAATTTTTGTTGTTGTTGTTTGATCAGTTTCAAAACAAACACAGAAGGAAAAAAACAGCTATGAACAGAAGGGCCAATTTCTAATTGGCTTTATATCAGTAAAAGTTGCATCGTTTGCAATAATCTGGGTACACATCAACCAAGTTGTGACTCTGGTCCAAAACACTTAATGAAAATATTGTTAGGAAATCCAAACAATAAGGTCTATCTAGGAATACAGTAAATTTCTTTCATAGAATCACAGAATGGTTTGGGTTGGAAGGGTCCTTAAAGATCATCTAGTTCCAAGCCCCCTATATTCTGTATTTTGGCAACAGCTACATGCACAGAATCCACATTAAAGCAATGTCAGTGTTGCTAATATCCTATCAGTGTGCTATGTGGAAATACATGTGCTGTTCTGCTGAGTTACACAAGCTTTCTCTGATTTTTCCTCTGTCTTTTAAGACTTACTTCCTATTGATGCTGTATTAATTTATTAGGTTATGAAGGTGTGCTATAAAATCTTGTATTTTGAATAAGCATTTAATTTCATAGCTGCTCTTCAATTTATCATGTTGTCCTGTAATGGAATGAATTTAAGACTGGGCATCAAGTTCCACTTTATTCTAATTTTAAAGCTGCAGTAGTAGCATAGTTTTCAGAAATTAAGCTTCAAGGGTAATCTGTTTATTTACTTTCTCTGTATATCCCCATTCCTGCATCTTAGCTTCGTTCTTTGGCAGATTACAAACTGGTAGATTTCTGGAGAAACATCTGGCTTTGAAGTAATTTTTTACACTTCCATTGACCTCTCAAGTGCAAAAATCTCAGGGAAAGATTTCAGAACTCAGCATATAAAATTTCTCAGTATATACAAAATTTAAACTCCTCCAAATACAAATACGTCCCCAGAAAATAAACACATTTTGATAAAAAACCTTTTTAATAATCGTGTGGCTATGTTGGCTTTATTAGAAACATATCGAACATGTAAGAGAATTAGGAGCTGTAGTCAAAGATAGCAGTAGGTACAACAGTCATGATATGCAGTTGTTGCTATGGGAATAACCTTGGGTGCGATGTTTAAAGCATAAACACTGCATAATTTCAAATTCGCATCTTTCTAGAAAAAAGCTGAGGAAGCACCAAGTTAATGGATGAAGTCACGACCAAAGATATGACAAAGAATGAATATATTTTTGATCTCTCCTGATGCATATGAAAGAATGACTTTATAACGTTATTATCTATCTCAGCAACTTGTATGGCCAGGATATTGACCCGGCTCCTAATCTAAATATTTATGTTTAAGGCGGGTTTTTTCAGGGGTTTTGGGTTTTGGTTTGGTTTTTTTTACTTTAAAAACATATTTCTATAGCCCTAAATGAGGCTGTGGAAAGACACTCTGGTGGAATTTGGTTAAGGTTCCATCTGCATTAATAGTTTCTTTCCATTTTTTTCCTTTAGGGAGAACAAGGCCCTTTAGGTCCCTATGGTCCTCCAGGACTCCCTGGAGTTGGACAGCCAGGACCCAAGGTAACTCTCTGTAATATGTTTGTTGAAGTGCTAACTGTGGACAGTCTTTTTTTGGATGGAAGTTCTCACCTGCTGTTTTATCAAACTCTTACCTAAATGTAAAACTGACACAATATTGACAGGTCTTTGTATTTGCATTTCCTTTCCAGCAACTCTTAAGTTTTTATCATGATCCCATTGATATAATAGAAGTCAGAAATAATGCCATTTAAATAGGGGTTAAATATGTGAGATCATTTTCAAGCACTAGCAGATGCTTGCGGTAATGAGTAAACCATACTTCAAGGCATAGAAATACATCTCAGATGCTGTGATACACAGTCAAGTGACAGATTTGCCTTGTAAATTCTTCACTAGGGAACAGATATTCTTACAGGTTATAAAATTCTCTCTCTCATGCAGCATTTAATTCCTCCCTCTTACTTTATTGCAAAAGACTAGAAGGTGGAATCCAGTCTTGCTTATTTGGAAGTCATGTCTGTCTGTGCTGGCCAGCCAAATCTCCTTTTGGAAAACTGCAAAAGCACCTGCATAGGAAACATGGCTACTTAGTTTATGAGAGTTTTGTCAGAGACCTACAGCTCAGACTCAAACAAGAAACCTAAATTGGGCAGAACTAGGTCTCACCCTAGTTATTCTGGCTGCTAAGTCTTTGGTGTTGCTTTATGCCATTTTTTCCCTACTTTTTGGGGCCAAGTGCCAGTGTCTAAAATACCTGCGCTTTTTTTGCTTTTACTGCTCTTATCTGTACATTCATTGAATTCTGGCATATTTTCTGTGCAGTGGGGCAGATCCTCGAACATAGAGAGGGTTTATATAGCTCAGAAACTAGTAATTTGCCACGTAAAAGGAACAGCACTGGGTCATTTCAGAAGGGAAAATAGTTGATGGAGAAGGAATGTCATTCCCAGTCTCTGTACTACTCTGGGGAGAGATACAAGTCCTTTGTGCTTTTATCCTTGAAGCACATACTCCTCAGTAGACTGGGGGTGAAGATTATGACATCTTATAAATAGAAGATACAGAAACTATGCTGTTCCTGGAGTTCCCATGCAATCCCATATTCCACTGAAGCAGGCTTCAATTTGAGTGCCTAGATAGAGGCTACGGTGAGGATCCCTCACACCTGAGCATTTCTGCTTCATGGTTGGGTTGTACTGCAACCAAATTTAGCCTGGCTTTGCTCCCTCGTCCCTATCATCTCTCAGGTCCTGCACTTTTAAGCAGTTACCCCTATGCAAAGTGATAACACCCCTTTTCTGTTGGCTTGAGGGCTGGAATACAATTTAGTGCTCCAAGTATTAATTGAAAGGTACCTTCAAATGTTTCTAACTTGCTATTTATGGGTTTTTTACATCAGGAGATGTTACACATTTGATTTCAGACCTTTCTGGTGACATCATTAAGTCATCTATATGTGAATGTTATGCTTTTTAAAAGCATTGAGTTGAATTAGGACTGAACTTTCTAATGTTCTTTTTCACAAGGGTGCTCAAGGTCAAGAAGGTAAAATTGGATTACCAGGACCTCCTGGAATTGGTGAGCCAGGATCACCTGTAAGTCAGTGATACATGCATTGGAAGTGGAAATACAGTAAAATAAGTCTTCATGAGTGTAATTGATTGACAGCAGTTATATTGGCTACTGATTCTATAAACCACCTTGTACCTAGTCTGGAGCAGTAGAAGTGTGTTCGGCTATACCAGCCCAGTATTGCAGCAGTAATTGCATGTGGCTTGCCCAAGCAGGAGAATAAATCCATGTCCAAACAAGTTTTGGGGAAATAAAAAATTGCTTGGTCCATGTGAGTAGGATTGCAGTATGCAGTTTTCAGAAAGACACGGAGTTGTATATAAATAGTTGTACCACTGCTTGTTTGAGTTGAGGATAATCTTTAAAAATTGTCTAAAATCAAATTTAAGAAGATGAAAATCCAAGCGCTGAGACATTCCTCAACTCCTGTGTGTAATTTGGATTGCTTCAAAAACAAAGACACAAATTATAGGGTTTTAATTATATCTTTATCTTCTGAATTACAGAACTTTAGCAAGCTTTTTGTAACGTTGAGTAGTGCTCACTAGCCTCTATTTTCTCCCTGAAATGTATAAATGTACCATTTTCTTGTGTATTCATTTTAAAATCTCAAAGAGGTTGTTAATTAAGAAGCCACAAATGTGGATAGGTGCTAGGTTCATTCTAATAGTATTTTTGAAAGTCACTTCGTGCTTGTAAAAGACCATTTTTCTCACAAAAAGTGTAGAAACTTTTTGTTTAATCAAGATCATCCTTAAAAACTCTTTATTAACTTTAAATAATGAAAGATAGCTGACTTTTATGGAAGAACAGAAAATATTACAAAAATAATTATTTCTATACTGGTGTAAAACAAAATTGGCATTCTCTAATTTTGTATGTTTAACCTGCCTTTTTGTATGAAAAAACCTATGTTCAAATTAATGATTTTCATTATGAAAATCACGAGATGATATGAAATTATAGGGAATAAATTTCACAGTGGTAAATGTATTTATTATAGATTAATCTACAGGTTCATTTGAGTTTTAAAGGTACAATCTTTAGATATTAATTACGTAATTCACACCGTTTCAGCATTAGCTTATTCTAATCTAAATCCTCCAATTAAGGGTTGCTATACTTCATTTTAATTGCCTGGGCTCAGACAGCTGTTATGGAAGCATTTTTATTTACCAGTGTCATAATAGTTGCAAGAACCTATACTAGCAAGTTAGACAAAATGTCAATAAAAACCATAATTGCTGGTATAGTCTGGCTATATTTTTTTTCTGTTACAGGGACCACGTGGCCCTGATGGTCTGCAAGGTGAGAAAGGTCTACCAGGAGAGGGCATTCAAGGCCAAAAGGTAGTTTTACGGATTTTTTTTTTTTTTCACGTTGTGGACCAAATTTGCAGTAGTGTCTAAGTTATTTAAGATCACTGACCATTCCGCTGTTAGAAAATGTCAGCTGATGGATCTTGGTCTTCTGAATCACTGTACTCTCTGAATATCCCCCCAAGTTCAGAAACTCGATCAAGATAATTAGAAAAAAGTTTTACAGTCCCTCTAACAGTAGTAAGTTAATTATTCTCTTATTTATGTGTTTAATAAGAGAACTTACTTTGGTGGTATTAATGAGAAAAATTGTCTTCTGAAAGACTACTTATCTATTTATGTTCTGTGTTGGAAGAAAACATTCAGGAACTGTTTTTATTCTGTCTTACCATTTTGGGAAATTACAAGATGGGCTGTATAAGTCTCTATGGACGGTTACCTCATTAAGGGCACTCGATAGGTTAATATGTGCGAACATTCCTTTTTTTAAACGTAAGTACAAACAAGCAAAGATTTATGATTAAATCACAACTGGGCTTCCCATCAAAATGTGTCCCTCTTTTTTAGTGGCTTCAAGATTCTCTAGAGCCTTGAACTACTAAGCAAAGAAGATTTTTCTTCCTTTTATGGAAAAGAAGTTAGTCGTGTCCTTGCACCAGGTTCTGAACTGGTCTCTCTGACTAATGAACATATTATCACATTTTCAAAATGTAACTTCCTCCTTCCTGGTATTTAATTTTCTCCTTTTGAAGTCTTGTGTTCAACAACACAATGAATGAAGATGAACCATGTTATGAATTATAACTGAATCGCTTTTCTCTAATACCAGTAATTCCACTGACTATTTTTCTTATTTGTTTGTGAAGGAATATTTTTTCTTCATTTTCCACATTGTGATGACCATTTTGTCTAGGATGGTGTTCTTTATAAATTCCTAAATACAGTACAAAACTGTTGCATATTTCTAGGGTGAAAAAGGCTCTGAAGGTGTAGCTGGTCCTCCTGGACTGCCAGGTCAACAAATCAAAGGTGAAAAGGTGAGGCACAGAATATTTTTTTAGTCATATCTATAGTTAATTATATTTATAGTTAAATTAATGATGAATTATTCACACAATATCACAGGTATACATACAAAGGTATGTTTTACCTGGAATCTGAGGAACTATGCTGTACCATTCCATGCAGCTCCATAGGCTGCACTTATCTATACAAGTAGCTGAGCCTGTTAACATTAACTGAAAGCACTAAGGACTGTATTCTATGCAGCTGGGAGTATGAGGGAAGAAATGGGCTTTTTCCTCCTATTTTTTTCAGAAATGTTGTATTTAAATTATTTTAAATTTTATTTAAATATTTAAAAAAAAAACCAACTAAAACCCTCTTTGAGTCATCTAATGGATGCAGAACAGGCAAAGGAACACTCTAGCTTTTGAAATTTGTTAGTTTTTTGGTGCCAAGTCCCCCAAAGAGGTATCCAGAACAATTTTCATTCCCTTCACCTGGTGAGATTCCAGCCTGTATCTTGTGCATCCCCAGAGACTGGCTGATGCAACATGCCTAGATGTCCTATAGAGCAGAGGCGGTGATTGCAGATCTTCCTTCTCATGATTTAGTTCCATAGGCCGCCTCCTACTCCCATTGTTCTCCTTCCCTCCTGTCCCCACAATTCCTGCTCCCCTTGTTGCTCCACACTCGGCTTCAGTGAGAGGACAGCACTGCCATCCAAAGTCATTGAAAGCTTTGCCAGCAGAGAGTGCCACACAGATGTGGGAAATATAATGTGAATTTACTCATCTCACTGTCTCGTCAAATGGCTCTCCAAAATCTGAAGAGTGTGGTGTGGCGTGGTCTGATTTGGCTTGTCTATGAGAGATGTGCTTGGTGAGCACCTGCTAGACCATCTTGCTCACAGCCTTAACTAGAGGAAGATTGGTTATCTGTGCTGGAATGACACATCTTATTCCCATGTCTGTATAGGAAAAATGCAGCAATGGCCAGGACAGTAAGCATTTGGGACTATTTCAGGAAATAAGTGTTTCTGGCATAAGTGAAACTACTTATTTTTTGGTTTCTAGGGACTGGTGTCACACATCATGACACCTTGACACCTTCATGGTCTGTGCCACTTCAATACCCACATGACCTCCCCATATTCCTCTAGTCCAATAATTCCCTTTGCCATAATTCCTCTATTCCCTCCCCAGGTGCTATACAATACCATTACAATACTACGTGACAGATTTTTCAAGAATACTCTCTAGCTGCTCTGTTTACACTTGCAAGTTTTTCTTCCTGAGAGTTGTGCAAGGAAATGTGTATTTTTCCATACAAGAAAATCTTTAACATTAATCTGAGTATGTAAAGATAAGCTATGGATCCTTCTAATAATAAAGTTACAGCTGTGATCATCTAATGTTATAAATGCGATAGAGTTTGTAGGTAAGAAGGGGTATTATTTTTATTAGATCAATTGCCATAGGCAGACTTTCAGGTATTCCAAACACATTTAACTCATAGAAGCAGCAAACTTCAAGATAATATAGCTTGCGGACTGTTGCTCTGTTTAGTTTAAAGATGTTAATAAGCTAGCATGGACTATTGCAATATAGCTCTTGAGAATATTTTTTGTATAGGGTGAACAAGGCCAAGTAGGACCACAAGGCCCAGCAGGACCACCAGGAATAGGCAATCCAGGAAGCCAGGTAAGTCTACATTTTGGACATGTAATGAGCATTTGCATGTCGTTTTTGTCTTATACTTTATCAGAGTCTAATTTTGATGTGAAGACATTAAAAATCTCACAGTGATTTTTCATTTTAAAAAGTATCAAGCTAGTCTTTAGGCAAAGCTTGTGAATGTAAGTGATTCCAACTGATGTGAATGGTCTTAGAATCCAGCAAACAGAAATTTGGTCCAATCTGCATAATAATTTGATAAATCAGATGCATTGCATGGATGATGACATATTATAGATCAGAGTTTCACAAGGTAAGAATCCACCACTTCTGAATTTCAACCCCTTTGAAGCTTGAACACAGCCTTCAACAGTTGGATACAGCAAAAGATCTTTTGGGCTTTGGTTTTTTTGAAAGGTAAGAGTTCATGCTTCCACCATACTGTCCCAATGAATCAGGGCTTAGATGCAGATACTGGGACACTTTCCACTTGTTTTGTCCCTAAACAGTAATTGTCATTACACTTGGATATGTCAGTGAAATCCACAGGACAGTGACAAAGGAAAAATAAAATAGAGATCTCAGAAATAAGCCTGAGGACAGGCAAGCAAATTATTTTCTTTTAAAGATAAGATAAAGTCATTATTAACTGAAAGATGGACACATGGTGAATTTCAGATGTGGAAGAGTGTAATGCCCTCACTTATTTATTTTGCTTTGTAGGGTGTACAGGGTCCACAAGGAAACCCTGGGGCAAAAGGATCTAAAGGTTTTGGTCTGCCAGGCCCGAAGGTAATGATTCAGACATTATTTTTTAAAAATAGCACCAGCAAGAAACAACAAGAAACGTATCTTTGCCAGGCTTTTCAACAGTGTGTTTGATGAGATGAAAATGTCACTCTTCATTGGAGATAACAATTCACTTCTGAGGGAAAACCACCCATGCTATCAAAGTGTTCCCCAAAAGGAGCATATGGCTTCTGCTTAGCATCAGCCCTTAACCTTAGTGGATGTGGATTTCAGGTTCTAAATGAACACAGGTTTATAAACAAAGTATCTTTCAGACATGTTTATATCAAGTGAGTTTGGTGCCACATACACATTGTGTTCAAGTAAAACATTTAACCAAACAACTTCTCTGTAAACCAGTGATGATTTTGGGACTTAAGGCTAGTCCCAACACACCTTCAGCCTGTCCTTCAGCCTTCCGTGGTCATCATGAGAAGAAACCAAAAGCAAAGATAGAAACACTAGGAGAGAAAAAAGAGCTTAACTGTACTTGGTAGCTGACAATGCACCACAGAAGGAGGGAAAGTAGGAAGAGAACAGGGAAGTGGGGTGAACAATTACTACTGTCAAAGCCCAAGCCTTTAGCGATACAGAGTCCAGTGGGCACTGTAAGAGGAGAAAAAGGGAATTGCTGAAATACTAAGGGGAGCAAGTGGAATGAACTGATGAACTCTAAAGCAGAAGTGTGCTTTGTAATCACCTTGATTTACAAATGGAAGACGTTAGTCACTGTAGCAAAAGCACGGAGAAACACAATAATTTTCTTCTGGGCATTCCTTTGCCATGTGAGTAGCAGTTACAGCAGCAATGTTTAATAGCAATGTAGGGACAAATAGGTAGCTGTGAGACGTTATGTATGAAGACAGTTTTCCTAGAGTGAAAAAGTATTTTAAAAAGCAAAATTGAAAAATGGAATTCCTATCTCTTTAACTATTTTAGAACTACAGGAAGGAACAATCATGAGGGTAAAACTCTCTCTTAAACAGAAGTTCTGATTTTTCTTTATTTGGACTCACTTTTCATTCAGTGACCAAAAAGTTTTTGATATAGTGGTATAAAATAAAATGCAATAAAACAAAAAGGAGAAAGTTGGAGTGATGTGCTTGCCTACTGCAAGGTTAAATAAAATAGATGCAGTCCTACAGCTTATTGGGGTTTTTAAAGACCAGAATTTTCCAGCTGAAAACTGCTTGGCTGAAAACCTGGCCACTTAGAATCATAGAATCATAGAGTATCTCAAGTTGGAAGGGACCCATAAGGATTGTCAAGTCCACTTCTATGTATAAAGCAGTTAGTGAAGTAGTGCAGATAACAAATGAAGCTAAATTGTGTTCCTCTGTTAAAAGACTTTTTGTTACTAGGGTCAACCAGGTGAACCCGGACAAAAAGGAGAACCAGGACTTCCAGGAATTGGCGTACGAGGACTTAAAGTGAGCCTGTTTTTATTTTTAACTGCTCCTTACAGGGTCTTCTAATGCTTTTGCTAGTTGCTGATAAACTAAGTAGATTTTTTGATATAAATGGACTATGATCAAAATAAGAAGGAATTTCAGTGACAGATACTCACTTCACAGTTTTAGCTTTTAAACTCAAAATGCTGCATTAGAGCTCCCACTCTGTCCTCTAAAATCATTACTTCTGCCATAACTGGAAGAGAGTTTTCCCCTATCTTTTCTAAGCTTGTGAGGTATTTCCAGGGCCAGTTGGAAACGTTACTACCTCTGTTGCCCTGTGATGATTTGAAAAAAGTCCAGTCTGTGTGACAGCGGTGGTCGTACTGCCTGCATCTTAGAAGAGTTGTTAAACACCTAAAGCTTTGACTTCAGCTGCCATTTTGAAAACTGTATCACATGTCCTTAATGGTTTAAGTAGGGCTGCCAAAACCTTGGGAAAGATGACATAGACATCTTGGGTTTGGTGATTTTTCCCAGGATCATGGAAGAAGCGCTCAGCAGGACTAGTTCCTATGGATAATTTCAACTCCCTGTGGCAACTCTTGAAAGTAATGCCTAGACCAGTTTGTACAGCCAGCGAGGTGTTAGTCTCCCAATCAACAACTCCGTTTAGGCATTTTTGGATGACCATTCCTTAAGTCCCAGATGTTTGACTTTGCGAGTAAATTACATTCATACCATACTGTTCTTGTGCACAGAATAACAAACAGCATTCAATCATGTTTTTACTCACTGAATAACTGTAAATTTGTTTAATACAAACCCATGATTTAAGAAGTAGGTGAGGAGCTTGGAAAGAAATTTAAAATACTTATTTTAGATTGTATAAGTAGAAAAAATTATTGGCTGTATAGAATATTTAACTTACTGGGAATAACAACCTTTATTTAAGCAAAAAATTGTATAGCATTAATTAATATTTTAACACACTGTTAGATCCATTTTACAGAATAAAAAAATTATTGAAGTATGCAGATATCATTATTTATTCTTCTTTAAGGGGGATATAGGTCTATCTGGACTCCCAGGAGAGAGAGGGGTGCAGGGAGATCCTGGGAAGTCAGGGGAAAAGGTAAGGAAATGTATTTTGCCACATGTAAAAAATGTAGATGAAAGAAGAACAAACTATTGTTCACAGGTATGCACTGGCAAGGAGTTCACCCTGGAGGAGGGCATGTACCAATGGTTTTGCCAGGGAAAAGGGACTAAGCTAGTTGAGATGTTTCCAACAAACTTTACTAACAGTGGCTACCATCTGAATCTGCAACTGATTTAGCTGCCCTGCCTTTTGTGGGCTATTCACTCCTGCTAAATCTTATGATCTTCTTGGAGAACAGACAGCTTTTGTCTTCAGCCTGTTCCTTATAGCCTAACACTAAGAAGTCATGCTCAAATTGATGTGACTTGGGGCATCTGGCAGGGTGGTGAGCTGTGGCTGAAACCTGTCAGCCTGGTACTGTCACAAACAGCTGAAACCAGGGCTGCTTGTTTCCAAGGGAAATTCTGAGATTTTAAGAGAAACTCTGCCACACTGGAAAAAAACAAGCATAAATTTTAAATGGTGGAAAGGAATTTAAAGAAATTTAAATTTAAAGGGCCAACCTGTAGAATCGATGAACTGAACATGATTCAGAGTAAGCAAATCAGTATTTTTTGACTGCCGGTCTTTAATCAGAAAATATCTGAATAGCTGTAATAAACATCTATTAAGAATGCAGCTTCACATTTTTTTCATCTACAAGGGCAGTGCAAATACCAGTTTGACAAGCTACAGCCTGAGGCAGTAAGCCTTCCACTGTGGAAAAATACATAGCATTTCTGTTGCTACTTAATTATTTTTTTAAAAAATTGAAATCACCCACTACATAAGTGCTCAAAAATGAAGATCCCAGTGTATCAGGTGTGAAACATCAGAATTAATATTAAATGTTGGATTAAACTTAAAGGTGGTGTTTGTATTTGGGAATGCTGGGGGTTTTTTTCTGTTGCATATTGCCTTTATTCTGATGATCAACTTGGTACTGTCACCTTCACTGTCGTAATCCATTGTAAGTGAAAATAGTAGTACTGAGCAGCTAGCTTGGCTATTCAGGACAGTGCAAAAAACAGCTTGATACCTCCAGTGAGTAGCATGGTGATGTTACAGCAGTTATTTGCAAGTGTGAAGCTGTCTCACAGAAGTGGGTTCCTGACTGATGCCCATCAACAGTATGCTCTGTAATGCCGCTTCCGTGAACAACTCAAATTAGAGATGGATTTTTAAACATTTTAATCTACTTTTCAATTTCTGAATTACCTACAGGCATTCTGATACACTAATCTGTCATGTTATGCATAAATATTTTGTAGATAATGTTCCTTAGAAGAATGTTTTATGTGGATTATTTGTGAATTATTTGAAGCAATGTTTCTGGCAAATACTTGCAGCCTGGATTGGCCTTTGGCTACAGAGTTGCCTAAAATTCTGCTTCTTAAAAGTTATTTTTCTTAGAATTGGTCAGCCAAGACCTTTTCTGATAATTTTGCAAGCGTTTCTCTTTCTCATATGAGTATATGCATGCAATTCTTCCTACAAAAGATTGATGCAATTGCAAATGGCACTATTAGAAATGTCTGTGAAAATAAGGAATATGAATGCAGGAGGGTGGAAGGGGTTTAAGGAGACAGAATACTTTATTTTTTGCAGGAAAAAAAATTAACCAGCTACTTACTGATGTTTTTGGGAAAAGTGTTTATGCAAACATTGTGTCTCATAAATCTGTTAATCCAATAAAATTAGCTACATGAAAATTAATTAACCATCTAATCTCTGTTAGGGAGAAAAGGGAGATCAAGGTCCAAGAGGCCCAGAAGGACCCCCTGGCAAAGGAGATGTAGGCCAAAAGGTATGGCTTGACATGCACACTGGAGAAATACTACAAACTTTAGAAGGACCTATTTTATAAGAGTGCAGATTCTGGCTTATTTTTTCATTCATTATGTCTTAAGTAGCAACTATATTTTAACTGATGATTTAAAAGGATTTAAGAGAGAGTGATGAGTTCCTTAGGCTGAACAAGTGCAGCAAAATCAGACTATAAACATAGACCCTAAAGTTAATTGGGCAGTAGAAATTTCCTGAAAATTCAGTACAGAGTTTTCATTAAAGTTAAGAGGAGGAAAATTATCTCAGTATGCTGACAGGGAGAGAGAAGGAGCTAAGAGATATTAGGTGACTAGTTAGATAGTTAGATATCAAATTAAAAGCCTGGAAAGATGTATTGGTAGACGGACAGCTTTTATGTCCCGCCTGGTTAAATTTAGGACATTTGGGGCAGATTCTAGAACTGAGTGGTATTTCAGTTGGAGTGGAGCATCAAAATGCCTTTCTAATTATGGATGTCATTATTGTTTTTAGTTATTTGTGTATCTCCCAGTTGTGAATGAATCTTTGCTGTGATTGCAAAAAAAAAAAGGGTTGTTTTCATCAGGGGGACCCCGGAGAAAAAGGATCCCAAGGACTGATTGGTTATAAAGGAGTACAAGGCCCAGCTGGACCAAAAGTAAGCTTGTTCCTCCAGGGTAACCCTTCACTTCGTATTTCATAAAAGAATCTATGGAATTTATGTGATGTACAAATTTCTGAAGCATCTTATGCTTGGAGACTTAACAGAACAAAGGAAAAGCAGAAATATTTCCATCCTCTGTTCTGAATGGCACAAAAGTCCCAAGGAGAAAAAGAATAGGTAAACATATAATTACAGATTTTACAGTTATGCATGAGCACTGAGAAGCTAAATTAAAGTTGTCCAAGTGATTCTAACCATGAGCATTTCACAAATTTTTACTTTGAAACATTAACTTCCTATTATAATATTTTGTAAGTAAGCGTTGCTCTGAATGATAAGGAAACTGAACTAATTCAAGTGTTCTGGTTATTCCATTGGCTTTGTAAGCCAGACACAAAAAATTAATTAAAGTTAAAAAACCAAATACACAGTTCAACCAATAGTTATTTAAAACATGAAACTTCGACCAGCTTTCACAAGAACAATAAGTTGATTTATGGTTTTTCCCAAATATTGTCTATTTTGTAGATAGATCTATATTGTAGATATATAGATATCTATAAAAATGGATATCTATAAATGTGTATATATATATAATATTTATAATATAAAGTGTTGAAAAAACTTTTTGCTACTTGTGCAGAAAATGTCTGTTTAAATCTAGATGATACCATTTTGTAACAGGGTGAACCAGGAGAGAGAGGACCACCTGGTGTTGCTGGATCATCTATTCAGGGACCTGCTGGACCAAAGGTGATATCTGATGTGTGTTTGCTGGAAACCAGAGATTGGAAAATTTCTAGTGCACATTTCTGTCAAAATTAAAAGAATATAAGTTAAAGAAGTTAAAGTTCCTTGTTGTAGTAACAAAGATGACTGAATTTTAGAAATGAGGACTGAAAAGTACTACAAATTAACAGAGAGTGTTTGTAGGCCCTTTCACAGGATGCCGAATTTAGTATGTGTTATTGCCTCCTGAAGCCATTTGTTAAAAAAAAAAAAAAAAAAAAAATCCTTATTACATTTCTGTTGTGTTTTGGACCCTCCTGTGAAATTAATCACTTCAAAGTCTTATTTTTTTTTTCAAATTTGCTATGCATTTTATTTCTTAGACTAAAGATTTCCTGAATGTGGCAGTAAATCCCTGCAGGAATGTGTCTATATATAGTTCTAAGAAGTTACATGCTGAACTAGATGACTCTTTGGAGATGAATGTTTGTATGTCACTTCCAAGTGAACAGCTAGCCTGTAGATACTACTTTAAATGAAATGTCATATATGAGATAGCTACAGCTACATCCACCTCATTTTCTCTATGGGGAAAATGTACCTGAAATGAGTGGGGCTTTTTTTTACTAACTTTGAAAGTTTTAAAAACATTTGAAAATTTACTACCATCACATTTTTATTTTAAGAATTAAATAGTTACTGTTTTTATAATATGTCAGTGAACTTTCAACTTTAATTGATGCTTTTCACCTTGGTGATAGTTTTTAGGGTATAGCAATCACTAATGTACTTCCTGTCACTCTAAAGTAATTTCAACCCCATTTTTCTTCTTCCTTAAAAATATGTATGCCTCCCCAGACAAGCACATGTAGTTATTGTGCATACAATGTACCCATCTGCCCAGCAGTGGGACATCTCAGAGGGCTAGGATGTGGTTTGGACTTGTTTGTACATGGAGGAGGAAGTAAGAAGGGAACACAAGAAGGTCAGGGTAAACCTGGCTAAAAATGCAACCACAGAGAAGAAAGAAAGGAGAGAATTGTGGGGTACCCATAACTCTTAGATTGGTTTCAAACCATAAAAATGTGCCAAACTTTATGTCAGGAAAATATAAGTGGCATTTTATGAGGCATAACTTGTATGAAGACGGGTTTCACTACACCGGTCTCCCTTCTTCACATTTTCCTGGTTACTCTGACATTTTTTAATAAACCAATGAGTCAAGATTGTTTATTGATGAGATTCATGCTGAAAAATAAGAACATTGTGGACTTTATTGCCTTTTTCATTCTGATTTTATTCTGTTCAGGACAGTTTATATCATTTTCATAGCAGACTGGCCATGATCCAAAATCCAGTGGAGTCTGTAGTTTTTCCAAACTTTTTATTAAATTTTAGATCAAGGGTTTTATCTGCAGTGGCTGATGTGAGAAAACAACTATTTGGGGCAATTAGAAAATGCAACTTGATTTTTAGAAAATATACAAACCTTTGTCTCTTTTGCTCCATAATAATTTCTTTGTTTAAACAAATAAACATAAATGTAACAGGCTACACAGGTCTGTTTTGTCTCTCCACTGTGGAAAGTACAATGATTACTAGTAATTGTGTTCTTGGAACATCCTGGTATCTGCAGTAGTGAGGCGAGACATTATAAATTTCTAATGCAGGGAATCTGCATGTTTTTCAAAGCTGGGAGTTATCATGGTCTGAGGTCTTTTTAGTACAGCTCTTAAGTATTTGATGGAGTAGTGGGTGATTGCTAGAGGTCTTAACTCCTAGACAGCCATGGTTGTGTGTCCACTGGAAATTTATTTATTTTAAGCTACACCCACGTTTGGGAACTGGAGTTTTATTTCCCTTGACAACCATTATGCTGTTACTAATATGGAGACAGTAACATTAGATAGCTGTTTTTTCTCATATTCCTTTCTCATGGTTACAGCTGCTCAGTGATTTTGATAAAACATTTGATCTGCATTCCCTAGTGAGTGTTTCCTGCAATACTGCCCGTCCTTCTCACTAGTGTTAAAAACTGCAAAAGTTTCATTGAAAATTGAAATTTCCTTTTTAAGATTCTTAATGTAAAGTAAAACATCTGTTGCCATAGATTAAACAGTAGAAGGAGCCAAATTTTGCTCTGTGAAGGGATAACATGAGGAACTTTAATTCTAAGCCTAATTGCTTTCCAGGAAAGCCACTGACAGAGCTAAGATTACCAAACAATTGTACTGGGTAATATTTGAGGAAAAACTCTAGTTTCTGCCTGGGTCTTCAGACTGTGGAGCTTGCAATTTTGAAGTGCTGTGCCATTGTATCTGTAGCCTTTTAAACATACTCTGTGTCAGCACTTGTCTTTCTTTGAATTTCTTCAGTGTTCTCTGTGTGCTCTGACAGAAACAAGGTTATGCAGTGCTGCTTGTGTGGGCAAGAGACAGCAGAAGCCACAGGCGGATCTGGCCACTGAAACTGAATTATGGTATTCAGCCTTCACTTGAAAACTAAAATTGTCTAGGTATTCATCAAGGCAGAACAAAGTCCTTGAGACAGTTGCGGAGAAGCAAAAGTGTAAGAGAAGTCAGAATCAAGGCAGTAAAAGCTTCCTCTAGAAATACTGATCTCATATTACCTAGCTCAATAATTGTCACTGTCAGAAAGAATTGAATACTTGTTCTTTTCTGTAAAACTTCAGAAATTAAAACTGAAAATAATTGATATGACTTTGGATTTTTTCTTTTTGGACAGGGGGATCCAGGACCAAAGGGACCACCAGGAGATGATGGACTTCCTGGAAATTCAATAATGGGACCAACGGTAGGAGTTTTTAGACAGAAGATAGAAAATAAAGAAACATGGGATATATGCAAAACTCTAGTGAAAATGTAGAAACCACTTGAACAACTTTTTCAGGAAAGTAACTGACTAATTCTTCAACTTTTGCACTTACTATCTTTTCAAAGAAGAAACACAAAAGAGATTAAATAACTAGTCCAGTGTACCTCACCCTGCAAAATTCCCTCAGGAAGTCTTCATTAGGAAGGTAGCTCTTCAAATTCATCTCCACCTTTCATTATCTCATGTGGTCTTTTATACCTCTGTGTGGGCAATATGCTCTTTATTGAGTATAAACTGAGAGGTATTAGTTATTTTAACAGTGGTGTTTCAGTATTACCAACCTTGCACATTCAAAAACATAAGAAAGACTCAAAATAAAGAATTTTAAAAACAGGTCTTTTGGAAGTACTTATTTGTATATAGGTTACAGAATAGGATTTACTTGGTTATATCCTTTACATTTTTAACTTCAACACCAAGAACAGAGTACAGTAGTCTGTAGCAGGTTTGCTGTGCTCACTGTTCAAGCCTTTAGTGGTTAACTGGCAAGATCAACACATAAGTGAAAGACCAGAGATAAAACTGAGGATTCAGTGGTAACACAGAGACTCAAGTCTTTGCAAAGGTGAGACTGAAAAATTCTCCTCTGTAGTACATGTGAGTTGACACAAGGCTGCTTGAAGAATAAGGTGAGACCAAGGACTATCCTCTTGCCATTGGGAAATAAGTTAGAAGAAAATTATATAGATTAATTTGTAAAAGGTGCAATTTATGGGGTTTTATCACTGTTGAACAGTGAAGTGACCTTTTCAAAGAATGGTTCTCTCTCTCCTATTTCTTAAGTGGTAATAGTAGGTCAGGATGACTGTTAGGTACATAAAGTTATAACTGCTTTTTCTCCTTGCATAATGCATTACAGTTATCAGGATGGAATTTTGTCTGATATTTTATCACCAATTTACTCAAACCCTTAAGTAGGGTTTTTCCTCAACTCCTTGGAATTGTCTTTCATTTACCTAATCAGAATAATATGGCATCGTTAGAAAATAGTGCCACTCACCTTTCTACATTAAGAACAAGCTGAAAAGCGCAGTCCCTGGAACACATCCCATGTCCTCTACTGCAAAAACTGGCTATTGCAGCTTTCACCTCCTCCCCTCTAATGCATTCTAACGCATTTTATGGTATCATATTGTAGTTCTGTCAGTCATGATCTGGGTTGAAACTTCCTGTAAGCCTTCTACCACTTGTGATAAGGGAATAGTTCAGGAAAACTTCCTTTAGTGTTTGGGACAAGTGCCATTCTTGTGATCTCCTTTCCAGACTGAAATCAGGAACCTTCTTAGTAAAACTTTTTTTTTTTTTTTTTTTCACATTTCTATGATTCTATACCACATCTGAACATAAAGTGTTCCACTCAGTTTCACTTCTTGGAAATATAGTTTTTAGACCCAAATTCAGAGACCAATTGGTTTATGTGTACCTAACACAATGTAGTTCAAAATGAAGCAACTTAATGCAATAACCTTTGTGTGATGACATCTCAGGAATACCAATAATGCTTTCACTCCTGGCTTGACAGACTTATACCAGTACACATACCAGAGGATGCTGCATAGCACAATCATCCACATGTGTTCAGTAGCTTCTGGTTTTGAATTTTCAGAAACTCTAACTTTACTTACTTTGTCTATAATCTAGAATGCTACTTGACTCCGTGTTTCTTATAAAAAGAAGTGAGGAACATGACTTAATTGTCCAGTCATATATTTAATCATTTAGGTTTTGATTATGGCAGTTGTTTTTTCTTAATTATGACCATGGACACCAGATTTATTTGTATATTGTGTTTATCTTTTTTTTTTTTTTTTCCCCTTGGAAAGGGGGTAAAAGCAGCTTTCTCTATATTACTGCTTCAGAAAATTACTTTTAAACTGCTCTGGAAAGGTTGGCAAAGTAGATGAATTAATTCATCTGATGCCGTCTGTGACATCAATGGTACTTGCCTTGTTGCCAGTGCACTGACTTAGAGTGAATCGCTGTGATTGTCTTTTCCAGACCCCACAAAACTGTGGGAAGCAGTAATCACAGAATTGCTGCTGGGCCATCTCTTGTGTATTTTCAATGCAGCCATTAAAAAAAAATCCAAACAAATCTAAATAATATGGACTAGAGAACTGTTTCTTATAGCAGATTTGGCCATAGATTTGACTTACGTAGATTTATAGCTATGTTACTTATGGCAAAACCAGCCATTTGACAAAATATCAATTCTTACAGAAGAGAAGGTGTTAACATGTATTTGGTATTTACAATGGTCTGCTAAGATTAAATGAAAACATCTGTTTGGCCATTTTTTACTGTTAAAGGAGTTAGGAGTAAAAATAGAGACGAACTCATGAACCATGGTTTCCTTTCTTGCAAAAAAAAAAAAATTGAATATTTCTAAAACATTTATCATTTTATCCACAATTTAAGAACTATGGATATTAAGAATGAGGAAGAGGTAAAATTGGCTTTCTATTGTAAGCCTATTTATTTATGAACTAGAAGCACACTTATTAGATTTTCACAGAACTGGATCAGAATTCCATCATTTGAAAATCAGTAAACATGAAGAAACATCTTTCAGGGCTGATGCAGTTTGAATCTGGTGGTCAAGTTGTGTTTAAAGTCTTCCAGTGAAACTATCTCTTTGGACTGGAGAATAGGAGAGATTACAGGAGTGACCTACCATGTACAGTTTTCTTTAAGCTTAAGGCTTGCTTGCACCCCTGTCCAAGTTCCATCTTAAAGTGGTTTCAGGGTTTCGTCTTAACCAGAACATTGAGTCTACCTTGTCTTTCTTCATTCATTTACCTCCTAACCTAAACCTTTGATGTATATCTTTAGGAAAACCACAGCAGCTCTTTCATTTTTCCTTGCCAGGGCTAAATTGGTTAAGAAGATCTGATTGCTTGTCTATGGTGGAGATGTGCATGGGACAGGAAATGTAGACCTGAAGTCTGGTTTTGTTGGATATCTAACTAGAATATGAGTCAGTTTACTCTCCAGTCATGGACACTGTATTCAGACAGATCAGCCACTGAGATCTGAGCTGCTATCAGGACTCCATTTGTGATTTCTTGAAGCATTATGTTATTGCAGAAATTTCCAGGCACAATGCACTGATTAAACAGCAGTTTTCAGTCATTTGTAATTTCTTTTTTCTAGCTATTTATTTTTACTGGAATAGACAGGGAAATATTTGCTATTCATATGTAACTATTCTTCAGGATATGTATGTATATTAGCAACTGACCCTCCAACACTACAGGAGAGTCCATTTACATTTTTTGGTTCTGTGGGACTGAGTGAAGGGTGTACACTACTCCCTGTATGGCCATATACATACCATGCTTAGGAGTGGTGTGGATGTGTGACCTGGAAGTATCAGTAAGGATTTCCTATTGATGGTGCTGTTATGTGAACATCTACAGTACAGACTGCCAGCGTATCTTGAGGGATACCTTGAAGTAATATGTTTTCTTTCTTAGTTCTGTGAAGAACAGTCTATTGCAAGCTCAGTTAATTTTCTCATTAAATGTCAGGAAAACGACCACTGGAATGAGGGAAGGGGGAAAGATTGCTGTTTGCTTCTCTTCTGGTTGTGAAAGGAAGCATTGAGGTTTTGCAAATGCACAAATCTTTAGTGGGAGCCAGTGGAAGAGTCAACAGAAGGAGTGATTGTCTCCTGGTACAGAGCATTTTAGGCTAAACTAAGAGAAATTATATATTTCTTATAATGGTTGTATTTCTTCTTTCCCTTGCAGAATGCAGTTTTGCTTTACTGTATGAAAGAACCAATGTGATTACCTGGAAGCGCAAATATGCAACATATGATAACTTAAGGCTGACATATTATGTTTTGGTATTGTTAAATTCATTGTTCAAATGTCAGGACTTACCCCCAAAGTCATAAAATGTTAACTTTTTTAAAATGAATTTAACTTTGTGTTGGCTGACGATAAAGTCAGTGTTCTGAAGATTTCTCTGTGCAACTACAAATCTAGACATTAATAATCTCCTAATGAGAACTCCTATTCTGAAATCTTAATCCAGTCAACTGAAGTGACAACAAAAAAGCAAAAAAATTTCTGAGCTTTGCAAAAAAATTGCAGGAGCTGGTAACTGCTATTTTATATTTCCCAAAGGTTATTAAATAGTTTCCTTACATATTCGTTAATATTTGTTATATCATGATGATCCCATTGATGCCTGGCTTACTATTTTGTATTTAGGGTAACCGGGGACTACCTGGACTCCCTGGACCCCGTGGAGCAAAAGGCGATGGCCACAAAGGTGAAGCTGTAAGTACAACTTTAATTCTGTACTTTGTATTCTACAAAAAAAATTAATTACTGTGTGTTAACTCATTATTTAGTTACTTAACTAAGTGCAATTAGTCTTCTCTTTCATTCTTTAGCTAATTTAAATATTTCATAAATATTTTAAAGTCCTTTCCTATCCTAGATACAGTGCCAGTTCTACAGACAGTCAGAACTGGATATAAACTGTTCTCATTTCAGCATCATGAAAGGGATACCGTGTAATTCCATAAAAATCTTCATGGCTGCTCATACCTGCTTAATATAATCACTGCTCTGAGTTCTTTTCCTTCCCTCCTTCTCTCCCTCTCTCCCTCCCTCTCTCCTTCCCTCCCTCCCTTTTCTTTACTGTTCTTTGTTCAAAATGTGTAATAACATCTGCTCAGCCAAATCTTGCAGCTTTGAGTTCCTTGGTTTTTCAGCTGCTTTTCGTACCAGGGGGTTAAATTGTCTTTTTTGAAGATTTCCACCCCCCTTGCTTTTCTGATGGTTAGCTCCGGGGGGGTTAATGTCTAAGTATTCCAGCTGGCGCATTTCCTTACAAGGGCATATCATCCTAAATTTCAGTCATCTAAAGCCACACAGATGTGTTTGACCAACCTTTCACTAGAAAGTGAAAATACTGTTGCCATCCTTCAACCACCACATGTCAAACTTCCATTAGCACTAGTTTCTTTATGTCTGTAATCCAGCTTTATTTCAAATGACAACCACAAAGGCACTCCCAAATACGCTGAGGTGGGACCTGAGTGCTTCCAAGTAAGTCACAACTCAGGTCCAATTTCCTACTGTTCAGACTGACCCTGGGAAGATCCTTTGGGATCAGAATTGGTTCAGAGGGCATTCACTCAGAATTCCTGGTGTAGTGCCATGTACCTGACACATTTCACAGCATGTAGGGACACTAGACCAGCTCAAGACGCCTTGGAGTGTCAAGAAGTGCCAGTAATGGACCCAGGCCCATTAAATAGAGGACATAAAAACAAATTAAAGAACTCTACTGTCATCCCAAATAAAAATGAAAAGCAAATTCAAAGACAATCATAAAGAAGGCAGTGATGCAAATAGATGCCTCATGAACTTTAGTATGCCTTATAATGCCTCATAGGAACTGAAGTCTTAAGCTTTACAAGTTAAGATATCCGTTTAAACTGCATGAAAAAGAAGTATTGGTAGATACAGAATCAAAGAGGTCAGTGAGACACTGAAAACTTTTAATTTCTAATTAATCAAAGAATTCAAGAGAAACCCGGTTTGGTAACCACTGATTAACAAAACCGTACAAATGCTGGTTGTAGTCTGCCCAGTCACAGGATGACAAATTTACGTGTATGCGCTTCCTGCGTTTCTGTTAGTGATAGACAACAACAACAAAAAGTGTTGCTCTGCAGTAGTATTCCTGAAATCATGTCTATTCTAGGATTCCTATCTGCAACTGCTGTAAGAATCGTGCTTCTCTGCAGCTCTGTCTCAGGCTTCAGAAAAAGCTAGTTGGCCTTCTCCCTGCCACATGGGTACATGTCCATGAAACGTGTGAAGGTTCTGTTGTGCTGTAGCATGCATCTTTCCCCTTCTTGGGCCGCTTTGCCACGCCCCATGATCTGGTAGGACCAACTTCCTAATCCACTGGCAGACGCGGACAGGATTTGTGTAGCTAAGTTCTGTAGCGTGATGGGGCAATGACATCTGCCCTGTGAATGCTGAAAGGGAGGCTGGGGGTGCCTCCAACAGTATGAAGGGCAGCTGAAGGGCCTGTGATGGACTGAGTGGGGAGTTCAGGAGAACAGACTATTGCATGCAAATACAGCAAAATATGTTAGGATTACCCAACACCCAGATTTAAATAGGTTGCTCTGGTATCCCAGATGTGTAATGTCTGCAGTGGATGACTCGTGGAGCAATATCTGCTTTCTCACTGGTTTCTCTGACCTGAGAACAGCTTCAATGTTCTTAAGTCAAGAGCTGGACTTTTTTTCCACCACTCTAGTAGTCTTTTCAGGTTTCCACCTGGGACTGTTGCTCAGTACACATCGGAAATGTGAAGAATTTGACAAAATACAGCAAACCCAAAGAGCTTAGTAACTATTGCTGTAATTCTCTTCTTTATTGAAGAATGCAAGGACTCTTCCTTTGGGACAACTACTGACATGCTTTATTCTTCTGCTGTACCAGGGACCTCCAGGACCAGCAGGCCCCCCAGGACCAGCAGGCCCAAAAGGTGTGGGAGATGCTGGACCAAAGGTACTTGTACAATGGTAGTACATGCATCTGACAAGTAGACAAGATAAACATCTTCTGAAAAATGCATTAGATGGGAGATGCTGGACCAAAGGTACTTGTACAATGATAGTACACGCATCTGACAAGCAGACAAGATAGACAAACATCTTCTGAAAAATGCATTAGGTTAGAATGGCATGTATATGACAAAATGCTGCAATCTCATCTCCCACTTTCCATTGCATCTAGAAGAAAAGTTTGCAATAGACTTTTCTGCCATGATAGATACAAACCAGTTCTTGCTTCATCCTCAGATTTGATGCAAATCTGCAGGTTTTCCATACATCCAAAGACCCAGGATGTTTCTAGATGCTGGAGTTCCCATGTGGTAGTCAGAATCCAACACAGGCAGAGTATTGCTTAATAATTCTGCACGTTCTGTCTCCTATAAAAGTGCAAGAGACAAAACCCCAAAGGAGTCAGGGGAAATGTTAGTTACATGGAACTAGTGAGATACTTTTGAATTCCCTAGAAATCGATTCCTAATAAAAGATTATAAAACTTAATCTAGAATTAATATTAAATGTGATAAAGGGATTAGAAATACAACACTGAAACATTTCCAAGTTTTTTTTCATAAAACACAGAATAGCTAAAGTGTTATAAAGTTCTAAGCAGTATGTAATTCACCTAAAAAGTTGCAGTGTAACTATTAAGTTATAAAAGTTAGAAAAAAGAGACTTAAGACTAAAATCATACAAGAAATTGCTTTAAAATATCCCACAGAGTGGTTTTATTAATGATTTCCTCATTACATATGTGAAATAGGAAACAAGCAGCCTGTTGCAGGAGAAAGTAAAATAAATATTGCCCAAAAAAGTTTTTTCCCAAATAGAAGGAACTTTCAACTTCAGTTCCCAGAACATGAGAATTCCCATTTAAAATAAACAACAACAATAACCTCTTAAAAGCATATCCACAATAAAGGAAAATCTGAAGGACATTCATCCTTAAAATGACCTGACCTTAGAATGACCACAGTATGGCCTGACAATGGGATCTCGGAAACCTGGCTTTCTGCTCCTATTCTGAATTACCCCTTATCAATGCAAGGCATTTCACATAAAGTACTGCAAGGTCTGGCCTATGACACAAAATACTAAAGAACTAAAAGTAATTTCAATTATGTTATTCATACATATGGCTAAACTAATTAGACTTTTTTATATGAGATTATATCTTTTCCAGATAGAGATATCGGACTTGATATAATACAGTTTTTTAAGACATTTTGCTTGGTACTACAGAAGAACATTTCATTAAAACCCTAGAATCTTATATGAAATTATTAAGGCAGATACTGATAAAAATGTAACTTATGGCTATAGAATGTCTAGGGGCATTTTTATGTCTGGAATTCCTCCTTGTTTCCTAAACGGATAATTCTGGAAAGTAGTGTTATCCAAAGAAAAGGAATTGGAAGGTCATGTCAGATAATGAAATAAGATGATCTCGCACTGTGATGCTGTGCTTGAAAGATTACAAACCCCAGAAATATAAATCAGAATTTCAGTGGAAATATAGGGGTTTAATATGAAGAAATTTGAGTTAAATAAAAAATGGAAATAAAAGATTTTATTGGGGTTTTTTAAGTGAAAGGAAACCACTAGAATAATTACAGTGAATTTTCTCACAACTGGAATTTTTAAAATGAATGTTTGTGGTTGTGTTTCTCAAAAGTATCACAAATATACAAGGTATACAGAAATGCACTTAGGAAAATCATAGTGCCTGGCTTATGTGAGAGATCAAAAAACGGGTCACAAGTATGAATTCATGGAATTTCTGGGACAAGCAATTCTTCGTCTGTATTATTATTAGGAAAGTCCCAACGCAGATCATGAATGATGGAAGGACAATATGGTATCATAAAATGCATTAGAGGGGAGGAGGTAAAAGTTGTAAAGTAAAAGAAAATATATCCGATTTTTTACAGTGGAGAACATGGTCTTCTTATCACAGTTATTCTTAAACTGCTATAAGTCTTGTGATATAATAACATACATATTTGACTAAATCATAGATTAGCCATTACAGTACTTACAGTTTTGACTTTCAGCTCTACGTGATGTAAATCATTGCCAGTTGAAGTGAGTTGTTCATATTCCTTGATAAAGACATCAAATCCTTACTTGTCAGTCTGTTCTCCACCCATGAACAGCATAAGAAGTATTACCATTCCTCCAGATCTGTGGGCTGAAGTATATTCATGGTACTAGTAAAGGAGGTTTATTGGTTATATCTTTTTGTGGAGGAATATGACCTGTGTTGTGTTAGTTGAATGTTACCAGTTAATTATAAGTTTGTCAATAGGCCCATTACTTCAACCTGAATTTGACTGAGCAAAAGTGAAATAGCTGTGACCAAGAAGTGAGGCTCTTACAATTTAATAGTGTTTAATTATGACAGGAAATAGTGTAATGGAATATCTAGTAACAGAAACTCTTATCCTAACTCATTATCTATAAAGAAGCCAGCAAAAGATTATCAAAGGCAAACTGATAAATTGCTATCACTGTTCTCATGTGTTTTCTGAGAATGTCAGATCAGGTTTGTAATGCAAATTAAAAATATCTTCTTCATTTCCACGAAGTCATCTCCATTTTCACAAAAATTGTCAGAATTGGGTAGCCTGATGCTAAGAACCAAATAGTTGAAAAACATGGGTGGAAAGGAAGCTGTGTTTTCAGGCTGATAGAACAGGGCCTCCTGTGGTTGTGGGAGCTGCGTGATACAGCCTAAGGAGCAAGACCTCAGCAGGTGCAGTCAGTCTAGTTCAGGCAGCCACACATACAAACTCAAGAGTCTTCTCAAGTGATCAGCATGGGTGGTTTAGGCTGCATGAGAAATGTGCTGTTGAAACGAATCTCCCAGTGAACCCATTTACTGTGCTTTGGCTTCGGGACCAAAAAGAGGTCTGATCTGGGAGTGCTCTTAATGGACTTCTACCCCCAGCGGGTGATCAGTCCATGGCAGCTAACCAGGCAGGTCCCCTCACATTGCATACAGTGCAAACATCAGGCTACAAATTCATTGCTACTGGGCCTGTAGCACTATTTCTTGATGGACATGGAGAGTTAGAAGCTGCCTATCAAGCAGAGGTTTCTACTCATTATAATCAGTCATGGAGTAGATTCAGAAGGCACCATATCCATGGGTTATGGAGAAGTGGCATCTTGTACTAGGAGGAGTTGTATTACAAAGAACCCTGTAGAGTAGCTGTCTTTGCGAGTAACACAACACAATTAGGGCAAATCATGCTTAGATCAGATTTTGCATGAAAAATTTTGTGAGGATCTACAGGTTTGGTTGTGTTGCAGTGTGTTATGGCCCATCAAATGTGTCTCTGTCAGAAAATTAAAAAAATCCAAGAGTTAAAAACATCTGATAAAAATTTAATTTGTATTTTTTTACTTTACAATAGGTTTCTTTTTTATGATGCACCTAGATTGGTACATTAATCCTGTGGGGGAAAATGCATATTGCTTCTATAAATGATGAGCAGCTGTACCTTTTGCAGTGTGTGACTGCTGCACCAAAGCATGCATTATCTGAATAGATAGTCGTATCTGTGATTTATTCTGTGCATCCACTCTAGACATGGTGTAGAGTACACTGGAAAAAAAAAGAAACCAAGTATATAGGCATCTCTTCTCTCTCCCTGATTTTTTGCTCCTGTTTGCTTATACAAAGTTTTGAATCCTTGGTCTTTACATAACTTCCTAGCAGCAAAGGTGCCACAAGGAGAAACAATTCACTTGAATTGCAAGAATTCCACCAGCATGTAGTTCATAAAATGGACAAAATTCTGGTTTTTTTCAAATAAAACATAAGTGCGCTGGCTACCTCTCATCCCTTCCACATAAAAGAATGCGTATAAGAACAGCAACAATCTCTGTATATAAAAAAGAACATCTTGTATATAAAAAAGAACATCTATTTGATAAAAGATACTCATAAATTTACACACTAGTTAATTTGAAATTCCTTTGAGTATCATTATATAGGAATGTTCCACTCAGCTGAATCAGAGCTCTGTTCTCCCCACTTTCAGAAATGGCTCACATATGTGTACACTGCTAGATAGGAATTTTATGTATCAGAGGTCAAATTCACATGAAAACAAAATTGGAACATGTGGGATGCATTCACTCCTGGCAGCACCCTATTTTCTGTAGCATTAAAACAGAAGCACATAATGTCAGAATATAATAAAAAATGGATTTAAAAGCACTGTTGCCAACTAGGAGGTGGGTTACAGGCATTCAAGAGCAAGAGCCCAGCACTAGGAATAAAGCAAGCTTCATTCTCAGTAACTGGATACCAGAAGGATTATTAAAACCCCTAGCGTACTCCCTAGTGCATGAACATTTGGGCTGGGTCCAGTTGCAATATAAATAACTTCTGCAGCTTGGGCCCTGTCTATTTGAACTAAAATGTGGGAAGTAGAGATGCAATGTCTTTTTTTTAATATGTTCTTACAAATACCACTATATCCACTGGCTCTCACTAAAGAGAGTATTGCAGTGCCTGTTGTATGTTTCAGGATCAAATATACGTGCTTCACAGTAGATTAGGTCTATTTGGAAGCCAAGATTTGTTTTTCAGCTAACGATTAGGTCATTTGATGAATTTTCTTGAAGAAATGGTATGGAATAGACACTGGAATTCCATACTTTACAGTGTCTTGACTCAGCTCTTTATTTCTTGTTTCAGTGGTGTTTTTCTAATTCACTGTTTTGCTGATGGTGACAAGCTTGTCTACAAGCACAATACAGGAAATAAATTAGACCTCATCAAAGAACAGTACTAATCCTTCTTGAAATGAATTCCCTGGAGGACAGTTTAGTGTCATACCTTAGAAAAAAGAACTGCTCCACTTTGCAACTCATAAAGCAAAATAAAAGTCTTTTTCTCTAAGCCAAGAAATACAGAAAGTTTCAGGATTACTATAAAGCTCTACAAAAGAGCTTTTCAGTGAGACATCTGGTATTAACTAAGCATGCGAAGCTAAAATTCGATCCTTCACCTGCAACAACCCTGTGTAAGAATGTGTTACCCGTGGGAGGAAGAGGCAGAAGACTTCAAGTCACCCTTACGTTCTTTTTGGTCAGGGCTGGTCTAAGAGCAGGTCGTAGGTATATTGGGTACTGGACCATAAGGAATCATTTACTTGTTTGGTAACCTCCCATTCAGCTTCCATCATAGCAGCTTACAGGCTGTTTCACAGGCCACAGCAGCCTGGGATCTCCTAAAAAAATTTACAATGCAAAGTAGTATCTGTATATCCACCTCTTACCTCTGGCAGGTTTCAGAGGAAGGCTTGGGCAGGGAAAGCTTTGGCCACTCTGCGCAACTTCTGCTCATGAAGAGTTCTCCTACAAACAGCTTAAGGTTGTATTATGGTTTGCAGAGACATTGAATACCAATAATTATTCCTTTGATGTAGATGATACTAAGTGGGAAGATGACTACATTTGCCTAGACTCTCAGTATTTCCTAGTAATACGAAAATCTCAAGCTAATTGTAAGAAAATGCATTGCAGGAGGAATTGAGAAACTGGGCACGTTTTAAAAGATCAGGAATATCTACCACTCATCCCGCTTGCAGAGGGGCATTTCCCAGCACCATGTACCAGACTTACGTGCTACAACATTTAAATACTTAAGATTGCAATCTTTAAGAGTTTATAGCTAGAATTTGGAAAAAAAAAAAAAGGCAAAAAGTTCAAGGGCATTGCCAATATCTTGGTTCTTTGCATTAGCATGGAATGTGCAATATAAAAGCTTCAGGTCATCTGAAGAACACTGCTAAAGAAAGTAGCTCTCTCTTTAGTTCCCTTTTCCAAACCAGGCTGGATGAAAACAGCAAACTCCCCTCTCTGACCAAATATGAGGGAGAGATTTCCTCCCGACTGAACATGGCAATCAGTTTAACCCAATCCACTTGACACACCAATTTAAAGCTAAGAGCATCCATGTACCATGCCTATGTCCTGACTCAAATTGGCCAGTCTCCAGTGCTTTGGAAGAAAGAGGAATTGCAAATAAATTCTGAAGCCAAATGCTACATCAAGAAGGAGCCAATGTTACACCAAGAAGGAAAGCATTATAAACTCAGTCTAAGCCTTAGCCTTTGTATTCAGAGTTCCCACCTCTCCAAATCCATCAAATCTGAGCATAGTTTGGGCCCTAATATATTTGCATATATAGCACATATGTCGGGACTTAGGATGAGACTATCATAGCCATACATAAAAAACACAGATTGGAGTGATCTCTCACTAGCGATTGAACCTTGGGTGTTTCACCTAAAAGCTGTTGTTACAATGACTGCACACATTCCTCCAGGAAAGGGAAGGAAGTCAGTAACAGATCCTGTACTTTCGTTTCCTTCCTTTTTAACCAGTTTGATATGTTATTTCTTTTCACCTACTACAACTCAAGCGTCATCTGTGATTCGTGTGACTCACACTTGTGCCTCTCTCCTAGTTCGAATGCTCCCTCTGCAGGCACAGCCATTTCTACAGCTTTTCTGAGTGCAAAACCACATACAACGAAGAGGTTTTGTAATGAAATTTTTTACTTTGTCAAGAAATACAATTTCTTCTTGGCTTTGTTGTTAATAGATTGGATGATCAATAGCTTATCTGAACATTTCTTTCTTTTGCACTTGCCTGCACAGGCATTAGGTTTAGGGACATTTGATAAACCTGATTCAGAATTTTCTGTATCTATAACTTATCAGTTATAGATTTCTTTTTTCTTTTCAAACTGATGGGATTTCTCTAGTGATCATGCGCAGAATGTGTGCCTGTTCCCTCATTTGTACAATTATGGACTGAGGAAAACAAAACTGCCTCTTATGTCCCTGTGCCTTGCCCCTACCAGTAGTGTCCCCTGACCCCCATCTTCTTCGCTGGGCTTGTCTGCCACATGAGGGGCAGCACCGGGCTCGGCGTTACCCACGTCCCCCCTGGCCAGCCAGCTGCTGCTGCCTTCTCTCTGCCTGCTGGTTAAGGGATGAGCCCCTCTGGTTTTTTTCCCCCCACTAAAAGCATAAATTTAATCTCTCTCCTTTACCCAGCCTCCAATTTTCACCAAAACTGTCAGAAATGAATATGCTCAAGGCCTCTACATTTCTGACTAATTTGGCTGAAATCAACTGATGAGTTTAAAATATACCAGGAGAAAAAAGAAGACTAATACAAACAAGCAGAAACACAGGCAAAGTATCACATAAGCCTTATTTCCTTAAGAAATCAAGCTGAACATATATGCATTAAGGCTTTTTAAGAGAACAAGGAAAGGATTGTTCTTTTTGTTCTTCTGAATCCATGCTATTAAAATTCATTTAGTTTTCATAAACACACCAGTTTGACAGTTCTGGAAGTTAAATGTCCCTAGTTTCAGAACAAGCACAGTATCAGTAAAGGGCATGATAACCGCGTGTCCCACTACTGACACTGTTGTGTCCCCTGTCCTTCCTGGTAAGCCCCTGCAGAATGTGGTGGAAAAATGGTGTTGTTTCCAAATGAGTTTGCTTTTCTTCTGTAGCTAGTAAGTTTGCAAATTAGAGTCCTAGCTCCATTGGTGTTTTAGATCACATGGACCTTTGCTTGGGGAATAATGTTCTTCATCTAGAGCTTAAATAATGTGGGTGCCTGAATTTGGGGCTTTTTTTTATATCTGTAAAACAACTCTTTATGTACGTAACATTTGTTTATTTTGTTTCTTAACCTCAGTAGTTTGACTGACTGCTTTATAAGTGGATGAAAGATGTAACAGTAAATAGGTGATAAATCATTGATGTTTCTGTGACTATTTTCAGGGAGACCGTGGAATGAGAGGCTATCCTGGGCCCCCAGGGCCGCGAGGAAATGGAATGATTGGTCCAAAGGTTGGTACAATGCTGTGTTGAAGCTTTTATGCTTTTTTGAGATGCTGGCTACCAGACTCTGATCTCTCAGACACCAAAATATCTTCATCAGTTCTTGATTTACATTGGTGCAACTGCAGGAGAAATTAAGCATAAAAACATGGGCACTGACCATACACTTTTACCGACCAAATTAGGAAGGACTACTAACTGGGTGAAAATTGCATTTGCAGCTAAACTTTATGAGATCACAGCTGGAAATTGAACAGAACTATCAGGCTGATAAATTAGTTAAATGATGCATTTCTCCTGTTTGTATCTATTTTGTTTCCAAGAGATTCTTTTGTGGTGGAAAATATGTTAAATGTGAGGTTTATGTTTGCAATTTTTTCACAATGAAATTGAATCCAATTAATTTCATTAGTAAAACCATTAGGAAAGAAACATGAAAACAAAAAGTTAATTCTATAAGCAGCCAGCATGCAACATCTGGGCAATTTTTTCCTCCCTCTACTAAAGTGACTTATAATTCAAAAAAAACATACTCGTTAGAAAAGAAATTCAATGCATGCCTGGATTTCTTTATTGTAAGTGTATCCATCAATTATTTTTACAAAGGCAATGGGGAGAAACATTGTGAGTATTCCTCCACTGTAACTTTAGTTAGAAGTAGATATGCCTTTGTAACTTTTTCTGTGATTCCCTTAGTGTAGATTAACAGAAGTCTCCACTGCCATTTTGAATAAACTAGTATCTGAATGGAGACATATTGCTATTACCAACCTGTTACAGAAATGCAATGAGTGACAGAGCATGAATATTTTCTCAGAATGGATGTCTGACTTTGCCTTGCTTTCTGAAAGCTGCAGCCATTTCAGTACCTTGGTTAACCATACAGGCACAGTCTATTTTAAAAAAGTAAGTTTGGACTGAGTGTCAGAATCCTACAAATGTGTAACACTATGTGCTGCTACCTTTGAGAATGAAAAATGTGTTCTCTGTGGGGAAACAGTATTTTGTTTTCAAGGGTGAGGACCTGCTTGTAGCATCTAGTTCTTGAGATAAGCTACTTGGCACAATGTTTTGTGTGAATCCCTGCTTATAAATATATAGATTAACAGTGTTTTTCACAAAAGATTCTGTCAAAGTTTGTGGCAAGTTTTTTGTTTACACAGATGAGAATGATGACTTTTCAAACATCACTAATATCTAGAAGTTAAATATTTTGAGCTATATATTTCTGTTTAATGATGATCAAGTTTTGAAATATTTCTGCCTAAATATTCAACATATGCAAAATATAGGTAGTTAATGTACCACTGAATGAATTCCATTTACTGTATTGGAGCAGTGATTATTTATTATAAGACAGTAATCAAAAACCTAACCTGAACTCCAATTAAAATTTTATGAAACTTGGTCAAATTTCAAAAGCTTTTTTCAACTGAAAATAAAGAAAAAATAAAAGGAAAACCAAACATTTAATTTTGATGTAATCAAAGGGATATGCTTCACTTTGTCACTCTGAAATGTTAGCTTAGCCTGCCTCCAAAGCACAAGGGCTTTACCTGGCTTTTGACTGTATCAACACAAATCAGCAGGTGCTGCTGTGGCTTTTCTCTCTTCTCTCCCACTTACGATTTTCTGAATGAGTGGTGCTCCCAGAGACTGTGGCACCACAGGGGCTTGGCATATATACGCGGTGCACAAGAACTAGCTAACGTGCCTGGCAGATTTACTCACGTTGGATTTTATTGCTCTGGTCCTTTGTGCCTCTACTGTTGTGTCTCCCTTGTGTGGAGTAATGGCACGAAGCTGTTGTATAAAGATGGGTTTCTGTTGGTGTCTGTGTGGGAAAAACTGGGGAAGATATCACACTGTGTCATGGGCATATTTTATTCTTTAATTATTTTCATCTTAATTGTTCCTTGGCTTTCTTGGGAATTTGCCAAGGATAACTATGAAGGCCCACAGTGAGAAACCATAAAGCAAAGAAGAATCAGAGCTAGAGTCTTTGACATGGTTTTACTTTTTGCTTGCAGTGACTTTGAGATGACTTCCTTAGCATTACCAGGAATGCAGTTTACCTCCTAATTCTTCTTGTTTACCTCCTAATTCTTCTTGTTTTGCCCCACTGACCGTTATAGGGTATTATGGGACAGAAAGGCTTGCCTGGTCCACCTGGCCTCCCTGGTGACAGCATACAAGGAAGCAAGGTAATCCAGTTTAATGTGATATCTGTCCAGTGTCTTCTCAAAACTGTCTCTTAAGGAGATTCATTGTCTGTTTTTCTCTTTGCCACTGAGTCAGTGAACTCCTGCAAGTATTCATTGTATATTTAAGGTTCTTGTTCATAAGGTATGTAATATTTACTTTAACTGTTGAGTTTTCAGTATTGGGGGCACTTGATTGCTCTCTTATTATTCTTGTAATTACAAATATATTTGTCCTATAAAAAAGTCTCATGTGTGCCACATCTTACTGATTTACTTAGATTTAAAGGATGCTCCAAAGAAAACATCCGGGGTTTTCTCTGGATGCCCTTGTAAAAGACAGTTACAGAGATCTACCATGTCAAACACCACATATAGGATTATAAAAGAGATTAGCCAGTCTCCCACATACTCTTTGTTGGGTGTTTACTTGCCCAGTTCCAGCCATAACCATAGCTTCTCTCCTTATAAAGAGAAACACAAACACGGTAACATATTCTGAACATTCAAAGTTAATAAATTGCCTTGTCATAAATGTGTGGATGAAAATTACTAAAACTGGAGGCTCTACTGGAGAACAACCCAAGTTTCTCCTATTTCTCTTAAATCAGTATGCTTAAAGTTGAGCATGAGATTGAACATTTCCCTGGATCAGGAGGGTTGTGCTCAGCTCTCCAACTCTAAGTTGTCAAACCAGCAGTGATTCAGTAAGAGGGGCACTGTTTTAGTTGGGTTAGAGAAGGTGCCTCTCTATACTGCAGTTGGCTGTAGACACTAAAGCCACCGGGGAATCCATTGACAAAATAGGTTTTCACTGGAAAACAACAACAAAAATATCATTATAATGTACCTTGTTGGCAAAACGTTTCAGAGAACATTTCTTTGGTTCAGTGTGGAATTGCTTCATACAAGCTTTACCAGAAAAGCACCTATCCCTTCTGACTTTGTTTTGTTCAGTACTTGCTCTGATTCCAGCTTCAATGTCTTCTATTTTTATATTCATGTCCAATCATTTCCCTTTTTATACTGCAGAGAGCCCTTCCTTTTTTCACTGTGAGGTGTTTCATAGGATAAACACATACTTTACTGTGTTCTTTCTTTTCTCCTTATTGTTTAACTCCCTTTAACAGATTCTGGTTTATCTCATCTCGGGACTTCCCTAGACAGAGATCTCTACATGGTTAGTCATGACTGTCTAGACCTTTGGTTCTGATCTGCTTGCAGTTTTCTTCTGTATTGTTATCAATTACATTGATAACTATGACATATTTTAATGTGGGGGCATAAGGAACTTCTTATTTTCTTTTCTCTTCTTCCTTTGTTTGCTGAATCTCTGAAGGCTCTTTGCTCTATTCTTGTGGAAAATAGAAAATTTTCTTCCATCTCTGGATGGCTTTATGGTGTAGGAAAACTATTTCCTGCCTGGATTTAATAGACATTTCTGATGTGTTTCCAGAATCTAACACTTGAGATATATCTTTGTTAATTCTATGAGTATGTGAGGTTATTTATAAAAGCGCAATTGCCACTGTGAAAAGAAATATTTCCGCCATCAAATGCATCTGATGATACATGAAAAAACATACACATTATATAATATTTTTTCTGTTCCTGGAAAAATATTAAGGTTAGTCAAAATATGCTGAGTGTACGTATACATCTATCTATCTGTTTCTGTATAGATACATAACCTTGGCAACTGTCCTGCTCCTGTAGTACCTGTTTCCTCCATATGCTGATGCTTGTTGAGCTTCTATCTGTCTCTTCTGTCCTTCTATCTCTTCACAGCCGTGTTAAGCCTCATTCATTTTGGCCACTCTTCATCAGCTTAAAGTTACTGTACTCCTGCATTTGAACTATCAATATCACTCCGAGTATTTTTTTTATATATATGTAAAGCGCAGTCTGTATATCATAAAAATGGAATGTCGAAAATGAGATGGTTTTCAAGTAACTTTATGTTGATAGCTACATTCACAGGTCTTCTTTTTTTATGCTTGGTTTCCTTTCAAAACCACTGTCTAGACATTCTCAGATCTGTACTCAGTTCATAGAATGACATTTTTGCGTAGAAGTCTGCTTATTGATCAGTAATCTTAACAGGATATTAAGGTCAGGGATCCAAGGGTCTGCATTTTTGCATGCATACCACTTTGGTTTTTATGACAAGACTGATGGTCAAGTTTGAATTTAATTATGTACGGGGACTGAACTGGCAAAGCAATGAATATTTTTAAATTAATGCAGCATACTTCTTGTTTTTTACTAAATGTTCAGTTATGGTATCTATGAGAAATCCTTCTTACGCTGATTGATTGCACAAGTAGAGAAAGTAGGATTTGGTTCTGCAGTTGGCATTTTAAAGGCTAAAACTCACGCATGTGCCTGTGAGAAATGTCAGCTGTACAGGTATGATTTTTTTTAGAACAGCAGGTCTCATTCAGCTTTCACTGCCTGAACACCATCTTAACAGTGTCAAATGGGCTGTAACAAATGGCAGCAATAAATCTATAGTTTTCTCGGATCTGACATTTATTATTAGTGAAGGACCACTGGAACATACAGTGTATCCCAGTTCTGGTTCATATGTATGCGCTCTGCAGGTCTGCAAAGGTGTTAATCAGGAAGCTGTGTGATGACCCTGGTCAGGAAGGATAGTCAGTCCCAGTGCTGGACAGCAAGCATCGAAACAAGCAGGCACGCTGTTTCCCTATGTTTAAAAGCCATTTGCATTCATGACCTACATGAAGGACCCAGGAAGCACAGTCCTGCTAAAAAGTGACTTAAAGTAAATCAGATTAAATAGTCACTACAACAGTGCAAAATAAATTGCCTTGTGCATCCCACTGCCTTAGGAATATTTCCTATTTGCAGGAAATGCTTTTTTTTTTCCCCCTAGTGAATCAGCTATGTAATTTGGTGTACCACAGCTTCTTTTCCAGTCTCCAGAGTCTACATAACAGTGCCTGATTTTTTGCTGCTGTAAGAAACGGGGGAGAGGGGAGGGGGAGAAGTTCTGCTTACAGAGGCAAGGTTAGCAGGTCAGTGATAGGTAGCCCCAATGACGAGCAGAGCATTTTAGCTCCCTGAGTTAGGGCTAGAGGCTCCCACGGGGCAGAGCTATGAAGGCGGCGCTCCAGTGGAGATGTGAATAGTGGAGTGCAGTGGGTGCCTTTGCCTAGCACGGGGCAAGACCACAAGGCACCCATGTGCAAGCAGAATCTCCCATCTCAGCAGGATTTCAGTCACATCTGGAATTTGGACAGGGAAAACCATTCACAGACCATGACTCGTAGTAGACTGCCTCTTCTAGGAGCTGCATCTCACTGTCTAACTCCTGGTGAACTCCCAACCCATGGGAGTCAGGAGCCTTGAGTACAAGGAAGAGAAGGTTGACTTGGCTGTGCGCTGTGCAGCTGCTTCTCCGCCTGCAGAAATCTGTAAGCCCCTATCCAGCACAGCAGGTATGGAGGGTGGTCAGTCCTTCCACACTAATGTGCCTTTGGTGAAGGCTGGAGTCTCAATAAATTTGGGAATATTTTTGTATTTCTTTGCCTGTTATGAGCTATATAAACCCTTTTAGGCCTATTTGTGAGCAGCTATACAAGTATTAGTAAAAGATGCTTTAGTGAGACAGTCTGAGAGCTCTTGACTGAAAAATAAAACTAACTAACCTTGTACTTGCATCTCATAGGCTGGGTTTGGTACAGGTGGTGACTGCTCCTGATCTCACTGCCATTCTCTGGAGCTGGTTTTGGTATCTGCACTGGGCACTACTGTTACATGAATTATGTGTGTAATGTGAATTATGGTGAAGCATTTATGTACCAGGGAATATAATCACCTCTAGCTGTGTTTAAAACATATACAGCAGTTGATCAGGAGAAAAAAAAAAGTGTTACCCTATTAAATAAAGCAGGAAAGTTTCTGGAAGCCAGATGCTGTGAGGGATTTTCTGTAGGTATTTTATAACAGCTGTGTTTTATAACATGTTGTGCACCCACACTGCTAGCATGAACACGCCTTTCAAGTCTGTGTGCATGCAGCAGGGCGTGTATAACAATCATTATAAACAAATTTGAACTTTGGAGCTGGACTAATGCTGCCTTTTGAAGTACCAGCAGAAATATGTTCTACTCTCCGCATTGCGAAAAGCAGAGATGTCTTCTTATTTACTTAAGATCAGAAAACTAAGTCAGCCCTGGAGAGATTCTGGGTGTGTACCAGAGAACCTTTGTGTTGGACCTCGTTTTACTGCTTGTAGATTGGATGAATAACTGGCTGAGCCTCAGTGAGGTTACTTTTGTCTTTCATCTATTTCAATGAAATAACAATATTTCATTTAATTAATCAGGGATAATTTCTTCGTTATATACTTTATAAAGGCTTCATGTGTGTTCTGAATCATACACAATTGCTTATTTCTCCAGCTTCAGACCGATTCTGTCTTGGAAGTTATGTGCTTCATTGCATGATACAAATATCTGGCTTTGTCTATGATGCAGAATGTTACAAAGTGAATAGATACAGCATAGCTTTTACTTTAATTTTCAGTAAACTTGCTTTCCATATTCTCTTCAGGGAGAAAAAGGAAATCAAGGCTTTCCTGGACTAAAGGGATCAGTAGGAATTGGCCTTCCTGGACCAAAGGTAAATCCTAGGTTTGCAGTAAGGAAAAAAAAGGTAATTTTTTCATCCTTTATTGGTTATTTGGTGTGACAGGTCTTTGAAGATAAATAAAAGGCAAAGACATTGCCTTGCATGTCTAGCAAGGTAAGTGCCTACTAATTGTCAGCTTTGAAGTCTGTGAAAATCCTAATTGTCATTAAGAACCAGGCTCTGAAGTAGGTTCTAGAATAAGTTCATACCTGTTAGCAGGAAAATATTAGTCAAATTATGTATTCAGTTATCTTAGGTATTTTTCAGGTATTACAAAACATCCTTTTATTTGCCAGGCTTTGACAAAAAAAAGAATTGCTTTTTGACTAATGTCTTTGAAAGGCTTTGTTTTACTTGACTAAGTGCCAAATACCAAAGAGATCAGGTTTTAGTATATTTATGTGTAAGAAAGAGAGTAGCAGCACCACCGCAGTCAGTAGATCGTATTTGCTCTCCCTTATGCTGACATTAACTTTGATGAGGTTAGATTCAATTTATGGACAGGTAATGGGAAGTAATATCCTTTGCTGGATATTATGGTTTTGTGAAATAGAACAGAAACTGTCTTCCAAGAGCTTATTTAGTGGAGACTGGTTTTCTTAATGTTGTGGAGGAACTGTGTGCAATTTTCAGGTTTATACCAGTTTGAATAAGATCAGAATCAGACTGAGAGAGTCAAAAGGGTTCCTTAAAATTGATAGCAATCACCATGGCGAATGCTATAACACAGGAGGTATCTATGTGATTCCACTGGCTGGGTAATTGTTGTGGTTTAACCCCAGCTGGCAACTAAGCACCACACAGCCGCTCGCTCAGTCCCCACCACAGCAGGATGGGGGGGAAGAGAATTGGAAGGGTGACAATGAGAAAACTCATGGGTTGAGATAACAAGTGTAATAATTGAAATATAATAGTAGTAGTAGTAGTAGCAGTAGTAGTAGTAGTAAATTGAAAAGGAAAATAACAGAGGGAAATAAAACCCAAGAAAGACAAGTGATGCAAATGAAAACAATTGCTCACCACCAACCGACCAATGCCCAGCCAGTCCCTAGGCAGCGGCCACCCACCCAACCTTCCCCCTAGTTTTATTGCTGAGCATGACGCCATATGGTATGGGAGGTCCCTTTGGTAAGTTGGGCTCAGCTATCCCGGCTGTGTCCCTTCCCAAATTCTTGTGCACACCCAGCCTATTCGATGGCAGGGCAGTATGAGGAGCAAAAAAGGCCTTGACTCTGTGTACGCACTGCTCAGCAATAATAAAACATCCCTGTAATACCAACACTGTTTCCAGCACAAATCCAAAACACAGCCCCATACTGCCTACTGTGAAGAAAATTCACTATACACCAGCCAAAACCAGCACAGTAATAATAAGGAATAATATCAAAATGGACAGTAATCTAGGTACATTTCTAAGCTTTGAACTTTCAAGTGAGATGTAAGGTGGTCAGTAACTTCCAGAGAGAAGTAAAAAACTGTCCTGCACCATGTCCTTCTTGAAGAAATGTCTGATTTAGAACCTGAATCTTCTGATAGTATATTTCATACCTACATTATGTGAAAACTGTCTCTTGAAATACTGTAATGTTGAATGCTTTCTCTTTTTGGAAATCAAAAGATCTAGTCATTTGAGGAAAAAAGTGCAGAATTGCTTCTAAATGTGAAACTACATATTTTCCGATGGATGTAACAGTCCAAGCATGCCTTTTCCTCTGTTCTTTGCAAGCTCCCAGTTTTTCGTGGGGGTTCTGTGCAAAGCTGCTGTGAATTTAAGTACATTCTGAGGCAGTCACATGTTTCCGTAGGTCTGAATTAACATAGGTCCAGTATAACCATTGGTTTAGAGTTCAAGAAAATCAGAGTAAAAAATTACATATTCTCAACACTTGCATAAAGATGTCTTTACCCCTCACTCCTGAATCAAGATAATTTTTCAGAGAAATTATTAAAGATGTTTTTATTGTCTATCTTGCTTTCTCTGAGAGCCTGCTTTGAGTTGTTCTCTTCATAATACAAGATACAAGATAAACCAGTCACACAAAAAAAAAAAAAATCAGAAAATTTATCTTAAAAGCTCGTTGAACCATAACTCCAACTCTAACTGTCAACAAAACTGGAGTTACTGACTGTATTTAATACAGTTGTTTTAAATTAGGGAGACTATGGAGATAAAGGCGATCCAGGGAGCAAAGGTGCCAAAGGAGAGATTGGAGACCCAGGACCTCCAGGACCAAAGGTAAACCACATTTTCCTATTACTTAATTTTGCACAATAGAAATCAGACAAATTTGGCTTTTGTTATTTATCTCACTCTACCCATTTTCAGGGAATTTGGGGAAGAAAAGGTGAACCTGGTCTTTCGGTAAGCATATACATTAATTAATTTAAAAGATATGAGTTTATTTAGGGAAAATATTATAAGCTTCCGTGAAGTTGCACAAAGTTGTTTGTGGGGCATTGCATTGCCTGCATTTTTGTAAATAAATAGATTTCAGCATTCTTAAAACTAGAACACACAGAAAATTAATTTTCTTTTTCAGAGAGAAGAAGTTATCAGACTTATCAATGAAATATGTGGTAAGCATTCCAGTATGTAAAAAAAAATGCTTCTAATAAAACACATGGAATTTATATTGACTGAATGAATTTGTCCTCTGCATGTTTGTCTGTGAGGATACTATTGATGTGAAAACGGTGCTCACTATGTTGTCAGAGCTATAATGGAAGTAATTTGGTCCAGCTCTGTTTCTATTTATCAGTACCAGTAACTAAATTGATTCATTAATTAGCTGTAACTGACTGTAAATCTGATATATGAGTTCAGTTCATTTTTATGAAGGTAGTTTCTCATAAAATGTCTGAAATGGTTATTCTTCTAGGTTGTGGTATCAGGTGTAGAGTAACACCACTGGAGCTAGTATTTGTCATTGACAGTTCAGAAAGTGTTGGACCAGATAACTTCAATATTATCAAAACTTTTATGAAAACAGTCATTGACAAGGTATCGGTCAACGACGCTACAGCCCGCATTGGCATTATCAACTTCAGCCATAAAGTGGAGTTGGTGTCTTCTCTGAAGCAATACACAACCAAAGAACACCTGAAATCAGCTGTTGATAAAATGCCCTACTTAGGAGAAGGCACGTACACAGCTTCTGCTATCCAAGAAGCCATTCAGTTATTTCAAGCAGCACGCCCAGCAGTAAGAAAAGTGGCTGTTGTAATAACAGATGGGCAAGCAGATGCTCGTGATAAAGTACAACTGGATACTGTAGTAAGAGAGGCCCATGCTACGAATGTTGAGATATTTGTCATTGGGATTGTTCAAAGGACTGAGCCTCATTATGATGAATTTCTGAAGGAAATGCAGCTCATTGCAGCAGACCCTGATGAAGAACATGTTTACCAGATAGATGACTTCATGACGCTTTCAGGTAAAAGAAACTATTTTAGTAAGAGGAAACTTGAAATAAGCATATAAGAGGGTTTGGCCTTTCCCATAGCAAGGCAAGGCAGCCTGCTGAATGGTAGCTTATGTTTCTCTTTTGAATGCAGCTCTTTCTTCTGTTTCTCTTCTTCTTTGGCCAAATGAAACGTTTGCCAAATTTTTACATCTTGCAGAAACAATGAAACACAACGAAAACCAGTTTTCTGAGCTGAGGCCTTCTTTGGGGCACTCCTCTTTTGTGAAGGCTTGCATCAGCTTTCCCTCACAGTCCTTCTGTGCTTGGCCATGGTTTCATCCCAGAGAGATGCAGTTTTCCTTCCACCTTGATGCAACATCTCTGTCTCTTTATCTCTCTCTGTTTCATGTGGCTCTTGTCAGTCTTGGAGTCCCTTCATCATCTCTTACAAGGGTTCTTTCGTGTTTTTTTCTGAAAGCCATAAGGAAACGTATGCTTTCATTCTGATTCTAGGGGGAAAGTGGTGGAGCAACACACAAGGGAATGGGGTCTGATAGTACATTGCATATTTCAAACTGTGGCTTGAAAAAATCCTGTGGCCACAGCTGGAATCAGGAGAAAATCCAGAGGAAACCTGTCCCATGAAAAAAAGTGCATTGATCTAGACTAACCGCAGACCAATCCTATAAAGTGTATTTTTCCTGAGCATAAACTTACTTTTCTATGCTGAGCCTGTGGATGGAGTTAAATCTGGATTTAAGGCATTAACAATGAGAAGAGAGTTTAAGCTAAGGTTCTGGTACCAGCTGGGATTAAATTTAGGGCTCTGACTCAGGCTTCAGCATTCAACATAGAAGTATTCCCAGTCACTAACTTTTTTTGTGCAAATAAGTAGAATGCATCACCCAGTTTTTCTTTTTCCTTCTTACCTGTAAACACTTTCTTTCCTTCACTGTTTTTTTTCGTTCACTGTTGAGCTATGACTTCTGCTTAAAAAAGGGAGTTGGTGTTTTTATCTGTTTCTTCTAAAAGAACAAAAGGGTCTTAAAATCAAATAATTGAGAGTGCTTTTATTACTTCTCATTTGCATTTTGATGTAACTTTAGAAGATGGTCTTTCACAAGTCACTATCATTTAAGATGTAGGGTTAATACTGCACTAAAAGCTTGTGGTGACTCATTATGACTTTCCTTGATTACCCTCTATAAATTCCATCATTTTGTTAATCTTCTCAGCTCTTGAAAATAAACTGATCACAAAAATCTGTGAGAATGTATCTGAAGTCTACACCAGAAAAGATGTTTTATCTCCATCTCCAAGTCCAGAATCTGAAATTGCTAGTGAAGATATTAATAGCCAGTTACCTAAAATGACTACTTCAGAGATTTATATGCTCCCTACGGAAGGAATCAGTTACCCAGTAAGTAAAGAAGTAACAGTTATCAAACGTTTTTAAAATATATGTGTCTTTATTTGAATTCAGATACTCTTTATTTCACCGTTCACCAGTCTTTCAATATGCAAATAATGTGACATTTGGCTAGACCAAAAAATTTGAACAAAACTTTTAAAGTTAGAGTGAACTTATTTGTTGGGAACAGAAGCTTACAGAAGAAAGAGGGTAATACTGTTTCTTAGTGGCCAACAAATGCCAACAGTCCTCATATTTTTTGTAGTTCTTATTCATCTTAGGTGAGTTAGAAATCTTATACACTACATATCTGCCTCAATAGAGACGTATCTATAAGGCATTTATTTATGTGCAAGCTGCTGATTGTTAGTACAATGCTTCTTGTCATGGCCACACACTTTCCAGGTGTCATTAAGCCTTCAGGATTGTTTTGCTTTCCACATTGGGCTGTACTCCTAGGACTCCTCATTCATGTTACTCCTTGTTCTCCAGCCTTAAATTCCTTCTGCCCTGCACTGGGGTTCTGCCTTCCAACACAGTGCTGCTGCACAGATAGACAGGACAGGTAGAGTTTTAATGCAACAGATAAATATTTTCTGCAGGTGTGTATCAGCTTAGTTCCCTTATTAAGTAAGTCTTCAATATTTCTCAGACACTGTCTTAGTATCAGAGTAGGATATTTGTCACCTTTACAGTATATCAGCACTAACTCTCTAGGGTGTTCTTATTGCTTTGCCTAAAAATAGTCAATGATAAAAATGGAACGTTGTTTGCCCCTATAACCTGTTGAATAAACTATTGAAACATTTGATGTATAAACCTCTGTAGCTGCATGGAATGGATATAGTGGACCACAACAATGGTATTTAAATATTAAGTGAACTGAATACAGATAGGAGCTAATTAAATATTACTGAGTTACTGTGGAGGAGTCAACAGGTTAGCCAATATTAATCCTTTGGATTATTGTTTATGTAGCGTCATTCATAATGAAATAGTTCACTTTCAAAATTCAGTTTAATTTCTTTGAATAAGAGCTCCCTCAGTAGGTGTGATTGATTTAGGTTTGGGGCTTGTAATGCCTCCAGACAGACCTGTGTGATACTGAGGGTCAATTTTGACATTCTGTATCATTAAGAAAAATAAATGTAAACCTGGATTTATAGATGCTGACTTCATAAAGCGTGTGGTAAGGATCACAGATAGGATTAGTTCTAAGCGATTAGATGCTCACACACTTGGTTCTGGCTGACTGTGGTTATAGTTAAATCTTTAAAACTGTTAAATTACGATCAGAAGTAAACATAGTCTTTTTGTAGACCGGGAGAAGAAATGTAATATGCAAAGGATTGGATGAATTGTCTGCAAGATCTACATTTCGCCTAGACTTCAATTTTCAGAGTCCCAAACTCTGAAGAGTTTTCTTAAACTGTGTCAATAGTGGCCTGTAAATGGGAAGATATTGAATAGTATCAAATTCCTTCCTGTTCTCAGTAGGTAATCAACGTGTGGGATTAATGCAGTCATTTGTACTATGCTGTACCAAGATCCTTGCAAATCTTCTTGAATATACTAAAACACTAGAGAGGCAAATTTTTATATAATAGTCTCAATTTGAAGAGCAGGGTTGGCTTCTTAACACTTCTATCAAGGTAAATTCTACAGTTCTAATGATTAGCAATGGGCTGTTAGCTAAAACAGGAAAATGGGTGATTTGTCATTTGGCTTGATACAGGCAAGGGCACATGAGCCTATCTATTCAATAGGATGTGGTTCCCATAACACAAGTTTTGGAAACTTTTGCTGTACTCAAGGGATTCCACATCTAAAAAGAACTTCGGAAGCGCATAATGTACTTGTGTTTTTCTATCAATAACAAGTACCCCATTCCTCCTGACTGTGATTTTCCATTTCTTGACAGCTTGAAGATGTCAGAACATTCTCAGTGAGTGTTCTAGATGTTAAGAAGCACCGATTTACCCCAAAGTTCCTTCCATTTTTTGTTTTATTTATGTTACAGACTAAATGGTGACTTAAATTTTGCTTCAATGGAATGAATTCAGCTTAGTGACTAAATCGAAGGCATTACTTTGCCTTTTCATTCAGCTCTCAGTGTCAGAAAATTATGGTCACATACTGAGTAATCACTAGAAGGAGGTCTGAACCCACCTGCTGTTAATGTTTTTTTTTCACACATTATTTAGCAAAAGTTTCCTACATAATTAACTTTTTTTTTTTTCTCTTAGCATCTGAGCCCAGACAGAATTTTAAGTTATAAGATTTTGATTCCTTTTGCAGCTTAGTCCACCACGGACCAGATATACTGAGCTGCTGCCATCTGCTCAGGATCACACTGTGACCACCTCTGCTCACAGAGAATCGAGGTTTCCCCCGCTTTATGACATATCTGAAATCAGACCTCAGAATCCAGCTGTCAATCCTTTGTTCAATGTAACTGCTACTGATGATCACCACCTGACTGTGTTGCAAACACAGGTAGCAACAACCCAAAAAGGTAAGTAATAAATACTGTCCTCAGATATTGGGTAGCAAGTCTGCACCAAAAAAAACCAACAAGCAAACCCCACTCCCTCCCCCAGTATAGTTACTAGATATTATCACCTTTTGTTTGTCTGGGTGCTCTGTCTACAGACATCATATGCAGTGAGAGCCAGATTTTCAAACCTAGATGACAAAAAACCCGTGTGTACCAATTGTGTGCTTATGTATTTAAACAGCAGTTTGGTTCTTAACATTAGGATTTAGCCAGTCTCATTTCAAACCGATCCTGTATTTGTTTAGGCCTGTTCAGGTAACTCATTAATAGAAATGGAATTTGGCTACAAATTTGAGAGAGGCGTATATACTCCAGAAAGAAAAAAAAGGGGTGGTCTTCTTACTGAAGGAGGCACTTCTAGGATAACGTAATGTATCCCCAGAATCCAAGCTAATTTTTACTCATGTGCTTCCAGATCCAAGGTGCTTGGAACCTCTGAAACCAGGGGATTGTCGGGACTACGTGGTGAAATGGTATTATGACAAGAATGGCAATTCTTGTGGCAGGTTCTGGTACGGAGGTTGTAACGGTACCAACAACAGATTTGAAACAGAAAAAGAATGTCAAGAAACCTGCATCGACCGATGAATAAGTAAGTTGTCTCCATCAGGTCCTACTTCAATTGCCTCTTTTCTAGGCTAAAAAGATGTAGCCTATTTAAATGCCTCCCATAGTATACATACATATTATATCATCTTTTATACCTTTGATCAACCTTGATATGTTTGTCTGAACCTTTTTGAGATGGTGGGACCAGAGGTACACTTGGTAGTCATCGATTTATAGTGACACAGTGAGGTTTTCTACTTTGTTTTCTATTCCTTATCTTACAGTTTCTAACACTGTATTTGATTTTTTGACCATTACTGAGATGGGAGATGATATTTTCATAAATCATAATTCCAAGACTTCATCTATAGGATGAGCTGAGAACCCATCATATTATCTGTGAATTTATGATAGTTTTTGCATATTATTTCATATTTATCAAAATTCAGTTTTCCTTTTCCATGCACAGTCTACACAGTCAATATCACAAGGTCCTTCTGCAATTTCTTGCAGTCACCCCTTTTCTTTACTACCTCAGAGTAACACAGCGTTGTCACCAACTTTGTCACCTCGCTTTTTACTCCCTTCTCTAGACCATTTACAACTATATTGAGTAGGACAGACCATAGCGTACATCCTCCAGTGACTTCTCTCCACTGGTCATTCATCCCCTTTCCTTTGTTTTGTTCTTTTCTTCATGTACAAATTAGAAGACTGTCCCTCTTGAACCAATATAACTTTCCTTTGGGGAGGGACATTACTTTTTGGAAATCCAACCAACTGCCTTAGGTCCACAGGCTTATTCAGGCATGGTCTTCAAAGAGGTTGCTTATCAGTAGTACATAACTTCCTTTACAAAAGCCATATAGGTCATCCCCAATAAAATGTATTAAATACTCTATTTCAACTTTCAGTACAGGAAAATTCTACTGCACTGCAGTGTGTGTTTTTCTAAACATTTCAGGAAAAATAAACAATTCCTTATTTCTTCTAGAAATGACTGCTGTTTGGAGTTTTTAAAGCTGAAACTTCATGTGTATTGAAGAAGAACTAACCGAGAAGAATCCAAAATTATGTGGTAACATGAATATATTGCTGCCATGTTCTACTGCCTTCCCTGCTATGGTCCTCACATTAACTAGATTCCTGTATAATGTATGTTATCTGCAACACCACAGCAATAACTTACAATCACACATACACACACACGGGAACATACCTTTTCCCTCCAAATTTATATTAACTTGTTACTACTACATGTGGCAATGGCGAGATTCTAGTTTTAGGATTAAAATGTCAAAAGTGTTTACACTTAGCATTTAATGACAGAGGTCTCTTGGTCTCGTGGAAGAATAAAATACGCTCTAGTTTTAAACAAGGGTAAACGGTTCCCGAAATTGGCACCCTTAATACAGCATTTAGAGACATAAATTAAGATTTGCATTAATTAGAATACCTCTTTGGAATGTAAATACCACAGCTGTAGGTAATTAGGGGGGGTCCCCCCCATTAAAGCACATTTGGATTAACATCAATAAAATATTTTCAATTATAAAGGTAGGCCTTTCATTCAGAATTATATTAAAAACAGGATTCTTCATGTCCTTTAGGCTACTCAGTACATTTCAATTTCTCAGGGCCTCTGTGTTAAAAAAAAAAAAAAAAGTTATTTCACTCTAATATATGCTATTAAACTAAAAAAGGGAAAAGCACTGAAAGATGTATATAGATGTTTACTTATATCCTTTCTGCTTTTAGCCATAATCCTATATGAACATATCATTAAAACTGAAAGTAATGAGCATGTGATTAAAATGGAAAGCAATACCTGATAAAGAGTAATGCATTGTTATTTCTTGGCAAACAAAAGACTAGTATCTGCACGGGCAGCATGGGCAATTCTTGATATGCTTAAACAATTGCTTGCACAATTTTCCCCCCTCCATGTAAACAAATGGTAGCATATAGCATGCAAAATGAAGTTGTTTGCAGCAGATAGGGTGCAAACCTAATTCTATGGAAAGATGTGCTTGAAGTACTGTTTAAAAGTTTTAATTTTTTTTTTCCCCAAAAATCTGGTCCTATTAGTGAGTTTCAAATTAGAAAAGAAAAAAACTGACAGCTGCCCCCCCAAAACATCCTGCTTTTATTATACTCAGTGCAAATACGATGAGCACTGAAAAAACCCCTGAGGGCACAATTCATGTCTGTGTGGCATGGCACTGTAAAACTCCAGGAGATCACCTCATACTGTGTGTCCTGTCATACCCTGAAAATGAAGGGACTCAGTGGTGTAGAAAAAAAGTCAAGCTGTTGAAATCAAGAGGTAGTTTCCTTTCACAGAAAAAAAAAATAATCTGAAAGTAAAATCTGACACAACTTTTAATGTCTGTTGGGGGTTTTGGATCAGAAAAAGAAATTGCTTCAAACTAGACAGCAGATGATAGAGGGGGTTTTTTTAATCTATTCTGTGAGTTTTTTTATCTTTCTGTGAATCCCCAGACTGCAAACTCTGAATGTTTGCTCTGATATTTAGTAAACCATGAAAAAGCCCCTGAGTCCCTGCTGAAAGGGCAGCTCCTCCCTAAATCTGTATCAGCACTGACTGGCAGCATTGGCTCCGGTGTCTCCTCACCCAGCTCTGCATCCTCAAGGGTGTCATGGGTCAAACAAACCAGGAGAGGGCACCTCTTGCCGAACGTCTACTGCCTCACGCTCGAGTTGTGTAAAATCATAAGACATCATTGCCACCTGAAAGCGTTACAGTTTCCCCTGGCAAACAAACCAACCCTTTATTTACATCACAGGTGAATTTTAAAAGCAAGAATAGTTTAATCATTAAATCCTGAAATCTTCTGCTAGACCAGACCAAATGCTATAAACCATAAAAGCTAGAAATGGTTGGGAATAACAGAGGCTTTTCTTCTCTATAGAACTGATCATTATAAGGTGAATTCTTTTTCTGACATCCTTGCTTCTAACAATTCAGAAAAAGACTCAGAAAATGAACAAGAAAATAGTACCCCATCTGCTCATCGTAGAACAGCAGCAGCTTTTCACTTTGAGAAACTCTACTGGTCTCTTGCTAACAATTATCAAATTGAATTCATCTTTTGCCTTAACCCAGTTCAGTCACTGTCTGTCTCTAGGGCCCATTCAGACTTGAGTAACGCTGCCTGTTCAGTGACTGTCCTGCTGTCTGCACTCCTCCAGTTCTTCCACCTCCTCAAATTTCCTCTCTGTAACCCTAAATTGACTGAAGATCTGCAACATTGCCTGCACTGCAGTTTTGAAGATCCTCAGAAAACTGATTACCACATTTCCTCATTTGGAAGCTGCTGTCAAAGACATTCCTTGGGGGGGAAAAAAAAGAAAAAAACAAAAAGACTTTACTCGTAACATGGCTGAGACCAGCATTCGCTTTTTTGAAAAGAAAAAATTTATGAACAGTGTAGATTTATCGCAGCATTTCTGCACTTTTCTGGCTTAGCTGCTTTCTTAGCTCTTTCGGTGCCATCTGTGCATACAGCACACCTTTCTCAAAGCTTGCAGAGCCATCCAGCTCACAGCACATAGTTTAAAGCAAGTTTTCACAGGTAACGATGAATTTTTAAAGAAGATCTTTTATCAGAAAACAAATCAAATAACTAACTCCTCTTCCTCCACTCCCTCAGTGAAAGGGCCAATGTCTTCATGGGCTGGTGTGTGGGCTGGGACGCCCCGGCTCTACCTGCGAGCAGAGCGACCTTTCTACGGTCTCCTGACACATGACAGGGTAGGTTTAGACTAGATAGAAGGAAGAAATTCTTTACAATGAGGGTGGTGAAACACTGGAAGGGGTTGCCCAGAGAGGTAGTGGAGGCCCCATCCCTGGAAACATTCAAGGCCAGGTGGACGGGGCTCTGAGCAACCTGATCTAGTTAGCGGTGTCCCTGCTCACTGCAGGGGGGTTGGACTAGATGACCTCTAGGGGTCCCTTCCAGCCCAAAACATTCTATGAGTCTATGAGGAGGAGTAGGTAGGTCCAGCACTGAGCTCTTTGACATGCCCGTTATCTACTGTTGTTCCTCCTGCAGCTTCTTACCAATCGTCCTTTATGATCATTTCAGTCTCCTCAGACTTACTTTTTACCCTCCCAGTTGCAGAGCTCTTCCAGCTGCTGCTGAAGTGGAGTCTGCAGCAGATCAAGGTTTTGCAATCACACAGGCAGACATAAGCAGGCATCTCAGCTGTCATACTGGGGTAGCTACACAAAGAAATGCAAATTACATTTAATGACCAGATTTTCACTTAAGACAGCCTTAAATAGAAGTGTCTTTACTTCCAGGAGTATTATGTCTTTTAGGAGGGACAGAATCAGATCTAAGCTTAAGGGATAAACGAAACCCAGATTTTTAGCCAAATTCTACTTAAGCTTGGCTTTTTTTTCTAACCAGGAATATGTAGAAATTCAGCCAAATGGGTAAGACTCTAAATCGTGATCCGTAAAGACTTTGTATTATGGTTTTCTAACAGCACATAAGACCTACTTTAGAGCAATTTCTAAGATGAAAGCAGGAACCCATGGGCTCTCCTCCTTGTCTCACAGTCTCTGCTCTCAGCAGCTGTAACCTCCCTATGTGGGGACAGGGAGGGAAAAAGGAGATTTTTGCATTTTATTGGCATGGCAAAAGGGATCTCGCCAACATCGGCACGGTTGACCCTGGGACACAAAGAAAACCATTTCTTATTGTAAAAGTAATGGTAGGTAAGAGTTTTGACAAGAATAAATCTGGCAACCACAAGGCTCAACGTATGAGTAAACCCCCCCAAAAGAGTTTTGGATTAGCTTTAAAATTGTTGCAAACTCAGCTAATCCCAGGTGCTGCGGGAAGCATTTCGGGCTGGTGCTCCTCTCTCACCAGCTTAAAGCTTTCAGGACACTTAAAAAAACCCTGCCAGCGCAGTAAATAAGTGAGCAACAATTCAAAAAAGCCTCCAGGCCCAGGATGTGCCTGGGTACGTCCCCTTTAGCAGCAGAGCTGGGGAAGAGGGGCTGCAGGGGAGAGACGGTCAGCACATGGAAAGCTTGGATTCAGCGAAGGATTTCGGGGGTTTTGTGGCCTGGTTGCTGCCTGCTGGCCCAGGGGTGCCCTATGCTGCCCAGGGGTGCCCCATGCTGCCCAGGGGTGCCCCAGCCTCGCTGAGCACATGGGCATGGGTGGGGAGAGCAGGGCAGGGGAGGGAGCCTGGGGACAGTTTGCAGTGATTTTTCTGTGGCAAGCAAATAGCTGGTAATTCTTCTGAATTACCATCATGACATAATTGGCAATTTCAGCTGCTTCGTATTTCATTTGGGGCAACGCCTTAGTGCATCATGTTTTCTCAAAGGGTAGCGTCAATCGGTTGTAACTACATTGCAATTTAATAGGTAAAATATATTTCTGCTGGCCAGAAAGGCTGCATTTTCCAATTAATTCAAAGCATAATGAGATTCACATACAAAATCCAGGTTTGAAAATAAATATTTTCATTGCAACGATCCTCAGAGAACTACGACCGGGACTCCATCAGGCTGCACGCTGCATAACCGTACAGATCGTGAGTTACTAGAGGCACAGGCTGGCAAAATACACAAGTCAGTGTAGTAAGCAGAAAGCGAACTGACAAGGGCGGTGCTGGAGGCAGAACTGCGCTCTGGCTGGAGGGGACATCGTGCTGGTAAATAGAAATCTTCAATTTATGTTCAGGATGAACTGTATGATAGAGACAGCCAAAAGTCACAGTACTCGCTGGATATCCTAGAGCATACAGGTGAACTTGTGTGAGTGAAAACCGTTCTCTGAGAATTTAGTAGTCATATGTCAGGCTTTTTTTGAGATTTTTTGACACGCTCAGCGATGCGTTGGGTTTGTTTGCAATTCATAAGCTGGTTGAAACTTTCCTTTTTAAGAGGAGAAAATCACCCAATAAAAGTTCCCTTAAATAAAGTTAAAGTCCACATCAGTGGACTTAAAATTATAGGTTAACATGGAGTAAGGATGTTGTACTGGTCCTCAAGTCAAATCATCTTAAATAATGCAGCTGCAGTCCAGGGCCCAACCAACCACAGCTTCGTCCTACAGTGCCACCAGGAGGAAAACAACAAAGTGCCTCTATAAAACAAGCAGCAAGACATCAACAGGTTTTCACAAATCACACTGCAGTAACAACTTCCAAAACTCAGCTCAGCAGCAGTAGCTGATTGAGGACCTTTCAAATCACCTCTTAATTCATCTCACAAAGTTACATTTTCTACTGGCCATGGTAGCTACCTCATATTCCTCAGTCTCTGACAAATGTGTAAGCTGTCCTATGGTTAATGTTTAAACTGGACGTTGTGGAAACCAGATGTTGAGCCAACCAGATACTGAGCATTGCGGGGACAAGTCTTACAAGGTGTTTACACTGAAGTAATGTTATAAAAAGAGCCCTTACGCCCACCCGACTAGCGTGAAAGCCAAAGAGCGATATACCCCACAGTCATGTCCAGGGTCCCCTCGCAGCACCCCACTTCGTCTGTGACCATGGCAATGCTGCTGAAGCCAGCCAGCGTACCTCCAACAATAAAGGCCAAGCCTAGGAGCGCTTTCTGGAAGTGCCCGGGGAAGTCAGGGCTCAGTGTAATAGCAGCGGCAGTAAATGAGAGTCCCTGGCCCCGAGCTGTATCTCCAGTACCATGCTGGGTGGAGAACGTGTCGGGCTGGAAATGAAGCTGTTGCGTGGAAGCGGCCTTTACTGCCTGCCAAATTACTCATGCCGGTCACTTGAGGTTAAGGGCTCCAGGGCTCGTGAGCTGGTGTGCAGGGAGGTACAGGAGGACTGAGACAGGGGTAAAGATTTGGTCTCTGCTTTTGGATGGTGCCCAATGCGTCCAGCATGACCCCTCCTGGAGATACAAGCTGGGATACGAGCTGGGCTACCATCCTACCCCTCC